TGTTGTTGTTGTTGTTTGTTGTTGTTGTTGTTGTTGTTGTTGTTGTTGTTGTTGTTGTTGTTTGTGTGTTGTTGTTGTTGTTGTTGTTGTTGTTGTTGTTGTTGTTGTTGTTGTTGTTGTTGTTTTGTTGTTGTTGTTGTTGTTGTTGTTGTTGTTGTTGTTGTTGTTGTTGTTGTTGTTGTTGTTGTTGTTGTTGTTGTTGTTGTTGTTGTTGTTGTTGTTTGTTTGTTGCTGTTGCTGTTGCTGTTGCTGTTGCTGTTGCTGCTGTTGTTGTTGTTGTTGTTGTTGTTGTTGTTGTTGTTGTTGTTGTTGTTGTTGTTGTTGTTGTTGTTGTTGTTGTTGTTGTTGTTGTTGTTGTTGTTGTTGTTGTTGTTGTTGTTGTTGTTGTTGTTGTTGTTGTTGTTGTTGTTGTTGTTGTTGTTGTTGTTGTTGTTGTTGTTGTTGTTGTTGTTGTTGTTGTTGTTGTTGTTGTTGTTGTTGTTGTTGTTGTTGTTGTTGTTGTTGTTCTTGATCTTGTTCTTGTTCTGGTTATTGTTCTTGTTGTTCTGCTTGTTCTGCTTGTTCTCCTTGTTCTTCTTGTTCTTCTTGTTCTTCTTGTTCTTCTTGTTATTCTTGTTCTTCTTGTTCTTTTTGTTCTTCTTGTTCTTCTTGTTCTTCTTGTTCTTCTTGTTCTTCTTGCTCTTCTCGTTTTTCTTGCTCTTCTTGTTCTTCTTGTTCTTCTTGTTCTTCTTGCTCGTCTTCTTGTTCTTGTTCTTCTTCTTGTTCTTGTTCTTGTTATTGCTCTTGCTCTTGCTCTTGATTGTTCATGTTCTTGTTCTTGTTCATGTTCTGGTTCTTGTTCTTGTTCTTGTGCGTGTTTGTGTTTTTGTTCTTGTTCTTGTTTGTGTTCTTGTTCGTGTTCGCGTTCTTGTTCTTGTTCTTGTTCTTGTTCTTGTTCTTTCTTTTGTTTTTGCTCTTGCTATTGTTCTTGTTCTTGCTCTTGCTCTTGTGCTTGCTCTTGCTCTTGCTCTTGCTCTTGCTCTTGTTCTTCTTCTTTTTTTTTTCGTCTTCTTGTTTTTGTTCTTGTTATTGTTCTTGTTCTTCTTGTTCTTCTTCTTCTTCTTGTTTTTGTTCTTGCTCTTGTTCCAGTTCTTGTTGTTGTGGTCGTCGTCGTTGCGGGACGCTGCCTTGTGAGGCTTCTTCCCCAAGAGGATGCCGTCTTGTCAGATGGCTTCGTGCGGGTGCCCGAGGCGATGGATGTTGCACGCACATATATACATATATATGCATATATCAGGTTAGCCTACATATGGCAAAATAAGGGTTGGAGTGGTATTTCAAGGGAAACCAAAAGTACATTCAGAATTCTTTCGGGGTGGACCTCTATTTGACACACCCCCATTTGAAGCGCAATCTGCTTCAGATGTCCCAGAAAACGGTTGGCGAACAAGAGACCCAAAGCAATGATGTCCACCGAGCTGGTCCATTTAGATTCATACCCGGCCTGATTTTGCCATGGGCCGCTCTGCAACCTTTTGAATGATTTGGTCTTTATCGCCGAACCCTTGTTTTTTGTTTTTTTGGGGTGGGGGGTGGGGGGTGGGTGGGCTCGCGGCTTGTAGGATCCACTCAGTTTTGGTCTCAACCAGGCAAGCAGGGGCAGGGGCTGATTTGTACTCGCTTGTTTGTATTTGGAACGGGCGAATTGAGAGGTTGACCACTGCGCCCAGCCTCACACAGGGTAGGATGCTTGAAGTGCGAGGGACAAGGCCTTGGAGATCGGAATCTGTGCGGCTTGATTGGCTTGGATACGCATTGTCACTTGGACGCTCGTCGAACAGAGCTCCCCATAGGTCCGCTTTTATCACATCCCGGCAAAAGGATACAACAAGCGCAAGTAAAAGTAGGGAAACCCAAAGGTGGTTTTCCTCTTGGCTTCCCTTAACCAACCAACAGGGGATTCCCCAGAAAGCGACACCCGCGAGGCAAGGTTTAACACCGAGTCGCCGCTTTCTCCGAGAAGTTCGGTCCCAGGGAAACCAAGGGGTGTATCATTCTAGTACTCCCTTCCTGAGTTCATGAACTTTACACTTTTTGGGGCTGGACCGTTTTAGTGGTAAATGTAAAGTTTGGACTTTCTTGGGGCCATCCACTCAGCCAGTGAGAGTATTCTGCCTTCAAACCCACAAGGTGAAATTGCAGAACTTGCCCCAAAGCAGAAAGCTTTTCAAGACGACCCTGATTCTTCTTTTCAGCGTCTTGATCATCTTGTAACTTGGAGCAACCCTGATTCATTTGGCGAACCAGGACGGGGCACCCTCTGAACGAGCACATCTAAACCACGGCCCTCCGAGGGTTTTGCCCCAATCGACGCCAATGGGTCAATTGAGTCAACGCGTGCAATCTTTGAGGCTCGGTTTGACTGGGTTCACGTGGATTTACTGCAAGCAACCATGTGATCCGCTGCTTTGCAAGCCGCACCAAAAGGCGGAGCGTGAAAGTGCCAAACAAAGCCTCACTTGCTGAGTTCCTGGACTTCAAACCTCTTTGGGAAGACCATTTTAGTGGCAAACAAACACGTGGGCTTTTTGTTTGACCATCGACTCAGCAAGTGAGAAGGAGACTTCCCTTCAAGAGGTGATTTCATGGTTGGCTTACCGATTCCTTTCGCCTTTGACGGGTCCTTAACCCGCAGCCGCGTCCTTTCTTTCGCCTGGGTGGTTTTCTTGGTGCAGCGTCCCTCCCTGAGTTCCACGGCCTTGGTGCTCTTTGGGACCATGTTAGTGGCAAACCGCCCAAAGCTGAGGCTTTTCCGGCCAGTCCACTCTGGCAGGTAGCGGAAAAGGCTTAGTTTCGGCAAAAGGAAGCCAAGGATAGGCCAATTAGTTTATTTGTTAAGACTCCCTCCCCCGAACGGCTGGCACTTGGAGTTTTGAACATGGGGACACGCAGTTGTTGGGCGATGGTTATTAATTATATAGAACACCCAGAAAGAGACCATCCATGCTGCGTGCACAATGGACATGCAACCGTTTGGTGCAACGGTGTCCTGTTGGTTTCTTTTTTGAATATCCAAAACGGGTCCAGCATCTTGAGAAACACTCAACACCCTTCAGGATACAAGATGATGGAATCCAACTGTAAACCCCACCTTTCCTATCATGGTTTTCTACCAGAGGTTTCTTTTTGAGGCTGGCGGGGTTTTCAAAATAAAAGTGGGCAAGCCGTGGATGCACCCCTTCGCGACCGAGGCAGGTAGAGCCCCTGTACATATACCGTGGGACGCCTAGGAATGGACCAATTTGAAGTGCCACTTGAAATGGGACCTGAGTCGATATTTGCAGATTCGAGACCATTCCGCAGCAATTCGTTTCACTGGCGCATTTTCCCTGTAGGGCTGGCTGCAACAATCGCTCTAACCGCTTTGCCGAAGCAACTACGGCACTCGTTGGCTGATTTTGCAGCCAGCTGCAGCCAAATTAGCCTGCTCAGACTGGAGAGTGTGCGCACGCATTGGTGATGTTGTCACAATTCATGTTGCTCCCTGATTAGCATACCCCCTCCCAGTCATGTGGGGATTCCTTTTTTGCAAAGGGAGCCCTGCGATGGAGAAACACGGGGCTCATTGATCCGAGCGTTCTTTTCAACTTTCACAATCTCCCGAGCGCTGCGTGACAAACATGATGTCAGATGAAGGCGCGTGAAGAAAGGATGGGGTGCATGGTTGTGGAACATGGGGTTTTAGGGCTCCCTAAGCCCCCAAAGAGGCACCCAATGGCACGCATTGCTTGAGGCCCCTTGATGTTTGCATGTTGAAGTTGATCAATGCCGACGTCAATGACCGTTTGGCTCAAGACGAATGTTGCCCCAGTCAAAACCAGGGTTGGCGCTCACTTACCGGACTGGGGTTAATAAGGGTCCCGGTTTCTGGTTCGCTGTGTTTCTTTCCCTGTTGAGTGTACTTTGCCAAATTGAGCCATGAGAATCTTGTTTCGACTTTAGGGCCATTTGTTTGCACGGAGGCTGGGGGTTCCTGGTGGGTGTTCTTAGGGGGCCAGTGCATTTTAGAAGCCAAAGCAACACCGTCCCAAAGTTGGACACCCTGGTGGACCATGTTTTGAAGTTTTGGAGTAACCTTCGGTCATGTTGGGCAGGCAGCATTTGTGTGAACAACCAGCCTTTGGTTTGGAAACCCAATATGAGGTTGCTCAAAGAATTGTTGTTTAAGCCAGCAGCATGACCCCCCCCCTCTGGGTCTGAGAAAGATACGGGCGAGCCATCTGCTTTGGGATCTTCAAAGATTTGAAATTTCACCCCCCCACCTCCACCCCCTTTAAGGGTGGGACTATGAGGAAGCTAAACGAATGTGGGCTATTTCGTATCCATGCTGTAGCCATAAATCCGCCAGGGCCTTGGGACCGATCATTTCGGCTCACGTGGCCAAGCAGGATCGCAATTCGCCATGTTCACGGGGCGAACAATCCCTCGTTCGCGTGGGCAATGATTGCAAGTGAGCCGTTGCAACTTGGTCACCAAGATGGACTGGGGGTTCGCACGGTTTGCATTCCCAACGAGTGGGCAACCAAACCCAAGCAAGCCCAACCTCTGCAGCCAGGAAACAGCCACGGAGGGCTTCATAAAGCCCGGGCTGATTAACAGGGGTGTTCTCATCTAGGAGACCTGCCGATGCATCTGCCAGGTTGATAAATCCAGGGTCAGAATCACAATGTTCGGACATTGGATTTGTCATAGTTGTTAAGACAAATGGGCTCTTTAAAACAATCAAACCCCAACTGTAGGCAAATCGTTTGGTTTCCTTTTGGTTTCCTTTTTGCCACCGACATCATTCTTGTGCCGATCAGGTCGAACAGGAGAATGGGAGCACTCCAGTCCGCACAAAAATATCCGACCAGCACCATCATTATGTCATTTGGCGCATTTCCCTCCTTGAACACAAACACACCAACAGGTTTTGGAAAATATCCGTCTCCTTGTTCAGTCCTTCCAGTTTTTGGCCACCAGTTTGCTTCGCAGTAGCCCCTAGTTCGGTGGGGTTTCCGCTTGGGAATGGCCCGCAGAGCCTGGCAGGCGGGGTCCCGCGATGCCGCAAAGCGGTGGGCAAGAACTCACTCCCCGAAGTCCTGGACTTCAGTTCCTTTTCGGGTTTGGGCCAGTTGAGTGGTACATACAGTAAGATGTTGCTCAACTTGTTTGGACCAGTTTAGTGGTAAGTGAAGATATGTTTCAACTTTTGTTGGGCCAATCCACTCAGCAAGTGAGATGAGTATGGCTTTTTTTGAATCCCGCCGCCTTAGGGAAGCCAAAAAGGGAACCTAAACTCGACATGGCCCCACACATGTTGAGGGTTTGCTGGGGTTGGTTTCCCTCGAATCGCGTGGAGAGCAACTTTGAGGATGGCACTTGTATGGACCCTGTCATGGCTCCCTTAGAACCCCAAGGATATGCAAAAGGGGTAGGTATAAACAACCTGAGAGAGTTGTCAACATGGGATCTGAAGACATCAATAAAATTGTTGCATCGTTTTTTGTATACAAACACTTGCATGGTCAGCCTACTCAAATGAGCCTACTCAAGTGGTGGATTTAAGAGTCATTATCAACCAACATGTTGGGTTGATAGGGGCGTTGGCCCTGGCAGACCCGATATCTGAATGGAGGCCGGTTGTAGCTTGGTGGTTCCCAGCCATCCGGTTCCTTAGCTTTTTAGCTGTTCAAGGTTTTGTGGTTGGATTTCCATTTCACCCTCTAAAACTCAGTCACTTTTAGCGGGGCATCTGAGGACTCGGACACGCCATTTTCCCCCATTTCAGTTGGATGCCGCTTCGAATCGCATGTTCCTAAGGCCACGCGGTTGTTCTTGCGGCTGAGGGTTCCGTTTTGCACAACGCTTTGGCTTTTGATGAACAACCGGACTTCTTGCAGTCGTCGGATTTGCCATCTGTCCCCCCCCCTGCAACCCAATTCGTCATCCACCACAAACATGGGGCAGTTTGTGGGTGGATGTGTTGGTGTGTTGACGTGCCACGCGTTGACGCGTTGCTGGGTCGATGTCTTGGTGTGTTGATGCGTGGATGCGTTGAGGTGCTGATGTTGGCGATGTTCTGAGGTGATCAGATATGAAAGGTTTCACGCGCTTGCGGTGTTGATGTTATTGATTGTGTTGATTCTGTGGATGCTGTTGATGGTGCTGATGGTGTTGATGGCGTTGCTGGTAATACATGAACAGGTTGATGGTGTTGCTGTTATTGATGTTGTCGTTGTCACTTGCAGGTGTGAGTGATGCGCTTGAAGCGCTTGGTATTATTGGTGTGCTAAATATATGTTTGTGTGTGTGTGTGTTTACGTGTGTCTGTGTATGCATATATGTAATATATATATATATATGTATATATGTGGCTGTGTGTTTGTGTGTGTCTCTCTGTATGTATATGTGCATGGATGTGCCTGTTGTTCTTCTTCCTTCTTTTTTTTTTGTGTGTGTGTGTGTGTCTGTTCTGCGTGTTTGTTTTACTTTGCTTTGCTTTACTTTGCTTTGCTTTGTTTTGTTGGTTGGTTCGTGGATTTGTTCGGTTGGTTGTTGGTTGGTTGGTTGGTTTGGTGTCGTCATGTTTGTCAATTGCTCAGTTTATTTGTGATGTGTTGTGTGTTGTGTTGTTTGTTTGTGTGTTGCTTTGTTTGTTTGTTTGTTTGTTCGTTCGTTCGTTCGTTTGTTTGCTGTTTATTTTGTTCGTTGGTTGGTTCCTTTGTGTCTTTGTTTGCCTTCCACGGCCCCCAGTGCGTGTCCAGGAGCTGCGGCCGGCGCTCATCCGCGCGGCCGGTTCCCCTTTGGCCCTCGCGCGGCGCGAGGAGGCCGCCGTTGGGGGATTCCGCGATTCGCAACGTGCTTTAAAAGAGGTTCCAAGGTGAGAAAAGAGGGTTAAAAAGCGTTCCAAGGTGGAAAAAAAAGGTTGCCCTTTAAAATTGGCTTTAAAATTGAACCAACTGCTCTAGCACTAATTCATTAGCGACTATGCAAAAGTACAAAGTACAATTAACCACTAGTGACATTCCGACACCAATGAAAACACTGTACGCACCTTCAGCTCCCCTTCAAAGTGGTCGAGTTGTCAGGGGAATGAGCCAGGTATCGTTTTGGTTCGAGCAGAGTCCTTCGGGCCTGGTTCTTCGGTCTCGGGATGCATGATGTTCTGACGTAGCCGCTGGCTCATGAAGTCGGCTGCCCGACCCGGGAGAACGCCGGTTGCAAAAGCCCCGGTCAGCGACGGTTGCGAGTGGAAAGCCGTAAGCTGAAGTGGCCCTAAACTCCAAAACCCGACCTTGGGCGCTGGTGTCGAGCTTTTTGGGTAGGGCTACCCAAACAAAACCAGCCCGGGCCCAGGCTGTGAAGGACCAAACCGGTTCCAAGAAGCCTGAGCTCCATGAGATGTGGACCCAAGAGTCAAGCTTCCCTCAATTTCTCTCAGCTGGGATTGGCCTCAAATCTCACAGGCCGTGGTCCAGCGTTTGCTGGGCTTGGCCCAGGCACAGCCAGGCGCGGTCTCAGGTCGGTGGCTGCGTTTTTCTCCACGGTTTTCGGTTTCATGGTTCCCGGCTATCCCACTAGGTATTTATTTGCTTTTAGTTGCTTCAGTGGTAGTTTCCACTAAACCACTAAAGGTTACCCTCCCATCAAAAATCGTGGAAGCTGGCAGAAGGGTTTACAAGACTACCTCTCTTTTGAGAAGCCCCATGTTCACTTCCATGATTGGAGGGAGACTGTGAGGGAGCAGCCCAGGTCTGTTTGGTTCGGGGCCTGGGGGTTTGGAGGTGGCTCGGAGGGCTGGAATTGTGTGTTGGGGGCAGTGAGTTTCCTTAAACAAATCGGCGGACAAAGCGGGGCTTTTCTTGTGGGAGGCGAAGCTAGGTCGCTCAAGCACCAGTCACACAGTGCAACTTCAAGGAATGATGCGGATGGCCAACATCTTGGCAGAACGAACACATTATATATATATATAGCGTAAATATCGGGAGTTTATCCACCCAGCCGGTGCAGGACTTTGACCACAGTATTTCACCCAGCATTGACAAGTGCGCGGACTTGCCACTTGCGGTCGGCAAACATCTTGACTTTGGAGCCATTCCGACGCCCAATCGACCGCTCTGGGCCCGACAAAAGGCTCTGCAAGAGAACTGTGAATCAAGACTCCCTAAAACGAGAGATTCCCTTTATGAGACGAGTCTTTGCTAGCTTCCAAGTGAAGTTGCTGTTGCTGCTGTTGCTGCTGTTGCTGCTGTTGTTGCTGTTGTTGCTGTTGTTGCTTTGGTTGCTTCCCTAAAAGAAAGTCAAGACTCCCTAAAACCCCTTTAAAGAGGAGGCGGTGTTTGCTTCCAAGTGAATTTATTTTAGGTACCCTCCCACCAGCTAACATGGAAGTGCACAGACCGTGTAGAAAGACTACTTTCCTCTTGGTTTGTTGGCCCTTTTGCGCAAACCCATGTTCGTTGGTGGGAGGGCAAGGCCATATGATTGTGGAGCGTACATCCATTTCTGGGAGAACGTGGGATTCCCTTCCCATGACAACTTTCGGGAGTAAAAAAGGGGCTTCCTTGGCATCACCCTGTTCAGGTACCCTTTTCAGCTTGGTCTCTGCTTGCGCTGGCTCTGTTGCGATTGTTGCTCCGCCGCCGGATTCATTCCCGCACCCCGAGGAGCTGATCCGGAGCGGTTGGCTCAAAGGCTGGGTTCGTACGTGTCGATACTTGTTGTTGTTGTGTTTGTTGTTTTGTGTTTGTGTGTGTGTGTGTGCGGAGTGACAGAATACCCTGTCACCACCTTGGGCCGTTTTCGGAAGCAGGGGGCACGGCAGCTCATTGTCTAGCCGTGCCAACGAAGCTGTGAGAATGAGCCGGAAGGGAGTTTGGACGCAAACTCCTGTACCTGCAAGTGATTCTGAAAGTCCTTTTGGCCCCCTTGGTTGCGGCGCTGTTTGTGCTTCTTGTTCTTTCGGGTAACGTGTTCGCTGCTAGACGGAAGCCAAGTGACTGCAAGCCGAACCCACTCGAGACTCATCAGTTGTACTCGAGACTCATCAGTTGTACTCGAAAGATTAGCACTCTCCATTTGGAGTTCAAGTGTGTACACCCCATTCGTGGGGAATCCTCGGGTGTACCCATTGTGTGACCCCGGGCCGGCTCTGTCGGAAAATTTGACCTCAACGTGCTTATCATAGAACAGCGGAATTTCACATTTAACCAGGAACGAGGTTTCACTAAAGGGAAGACAGCGGTCAGACCATAGTGACGTCTCACCACAGCTGCTGGCTGCCGACTTGCATTGCATTGGCTTGCCATTGGTTGAACTTGTTGCTCGTGTCATAGCGGTTGAAGATTGCTGACTTGAATTTGCATTGTCTTGTAATTGTCGGATTCACTATAGCTGCAGACGGCTGCTTAGTTGCATTGCATTCGCTTTCCATTTGTTGGATTTGTTGCTCTCACCACAGCGGTTGATTGCTGCTGACTTGACCGTGCATTGCCTTTCATTTGTCAGATTCATTTCTTGCACCAATGCTGATGATGGACGCTGACATCAACTTGCATCGACTTACCTTTTGTCGGATCCATTTCTTCAACCATCGCAGCTGGGGGCCGATGACTTGCATGTGCATTGATTTGCATGTTGTCGGATTCGTTTCTCTCAAGGTGGAAGTGTGAAGATTGAGAGTCGGTTGCGTCACCATGTCCCGACGTGATGATCGTGATAGATCCAGGACTCGGCGCAGACGCGACCGGAGTACTTCTCCTCAAGCTCGTAAAGCACACCGACGTGAACACAATGACCACCACGTCTCGGAGGGCATGGATTGGAACAACCTGGTATCTTGGCAACACAATTCTGGCTACAACTCCGCCAACAATTTCCCGATGATGCCCACCAATTTTCAATCGATCCCTAGTCCCACGCAGCAGTTCCAACATCCATTGATCAACTACATGATGCCGATTCCTCCAGAGCCCACGCCAACGAAGTTCATGCCGTCCGTGATGTCACCACCGGTCACTACCTCGCAACCTATACCGCCACCTGGACCTCCTGCTCTACCGGTTCGTCCTCAGAAAGCCTGGCTTACACCATCACCTGACTGGACACCTGGAGATGGCATGTTAGATGTCAATCAGCTCTACAACTTCAGCCTGCCCATGACGGTTGCCAACACTCCGCATAGCAACCAACGCGACATGTCAGGCATGGACATTCGTGACGTTCGCCTGGTTCAGGTTATTCATGGGGGCCTCACCAACTGGCTGCTCCGACCGTTCGCTCACGGCAGATTCGTGACGTGGGAAGGCTTTCGCACTCGCACTGAGGCCTTGCTTTGGAGTACCTGTTCCAAACTACTACGACGATCACAGTCGATCAACCTGCTCACCCTGGAAAAGGACCTTGCCAATTCGCTGGGACTCAACCTCGATGACTTCAATCAGCGGATCAAGGTTCATGACCATTTGGCCAACTTGGTACTTCAATTTCTTCAACAACACCACGCATCTCTCACGCCTCCCACCCAGACAGATGACATGGTCAAGAAGTACAATGATCTAACTCGTGCTCATGAACTGCTCCAGGCTCAGTATTCAGCATTGCTGCGCGCTTCGACTTCCCCCACGGTGGCAAGCCAGAAAGATGATGCAGAGTTGGTTACACCACCACCGGTCAACCACACACAATCCTCGTCGCCTGCCAGCTCCCTCCCTACGGCCAGCGCAGCGGCCCTTGATGGCAAGTCGTTTGATAGCGCGGTGCAGCCCCGGATCATTCAGTCTCTTCACGGAGTTTCTTCACCACCGTCCAAGCCGGCGGCCTCTCAATTGCTCACCATGCACAGCACGCCGGAAGAAGTTGTCAAGTACTACACATGGACCAGTGACCAGCCACGCTTGTATCTCAAGCAATCGTCCACAACCACAACTTTGACGTCACTGGTCAAGTGGGCCAATCACCCGTCCCGGCTCAACGGCAACAAGTCATTGGATTCCATGGCAACGCAACTCCTTCAGGCGCGTCAACGCATGCGAAAAGGCGACGCACCCACTCTCGGGGCGATGGCGGCTTCGTGGGGACTGGAGCCCGGCTATCTCACCAAGCTCACTGAGAAGGCGCTGAGTCACCTTATCGTGACCGCTCGCTTACTGCGGATGAGCAGGCACCTTGACGAACTTCGTTCACTTATGAGCCCGGAGCGGCAGCCGTGTCACGGATGAGTCAAGGTTTAAAACTCGTCCGTCATCTTCTTGCTTTGCATTAGTTTGATCTTGTGCTTGACTGTGCTTGCATTGTCTTGCGCGTGATATTCTGTGCAGCTTGTATTCATGTCGCCGCCTCACGGTAGATTTCATTGGTTGCATGTTCACCATGTTGGCTGAGCTTCGCCGCTGTGGAATCTATGATGATGTTGCACAATGGCAGTCTCTGGACAACTTTCTACACTCGTTGACCATGTTCTCTACGTGCTGGCAATACTGCTTCCCTGGACTACCATCACCGTCGATACCAGCCGATGAGTACGAATCAATCACGCAACTACCGTGGTTGGGCCTCATTCTGGAGGTATTAGTTGTGGTCCGGATTGCCCTTCAGATTCCGAATCACGCTATGTCGCATTCTCAACACACTGTGGCCAACAGGTATGAGCTTCACAGATGTCGGTGCACCGCCTATTTATTGATCAGTTTCTTGCAACGTCTCATTTCTCAAGATCACGGCTACTTCCCACCGTTCTTTGAAGTTCTTCACTTCTACAAGGCATCTCTCTTGTGTGAAATTATGCACTCCACTTTTGCACACGAGACATCTTCGCTCATTGCGGACACGGTTTTCGGACCTCTATGACTTCATTCACGATCCAGGTCATCACCAACAACCGTGCGTCTACATCCGACTTTCTCCATGGCACACGCCTTACTACGTTGGTGCGACTGATCAGGACGTTCTACGACGTGAACACTCACGCAGTCGCAAATTTCTACAACTACTCCGGGGACGTCATGCCTTCTTCGAACCCGCGCTTCACTACTGGAAGCGCTCCAATACTTACTGGCTTTTCTGTGCCGTTCCGGTTGAGATTAAACTTCCCGTTTCCTCGGTTTGGGTCCAAGAAAGCAAGTGGCAATACCTGCTACGTCCGCATTTGAATGCGCCCTGGGTACATAGACTTCTACGAAAGGTGGGCTTCCGAGAGCATCTCGTCGATTTTCGACGTCATTCGTTGTCGTCTCCCACCTCCCTCGGTTTACACAAACGCTTTCGACGACGACTACATCCGGATCTTCAACAGCAATTACGACCCGACATGTTGGATGACATTCAAGCACATTACTCTATTCTCTATCAGCTGGGATCCAATACAGGCGCATCGTTCCAAGCCATGCGTGACCTACTGTCGGCGGCTTTTCCTCCCACTCAGCTTTACTACTTTCTGCGACTCTCCGTCTTTGTCAACGAGCCCTTTCGCTCCAAGGCACAGAAACTCCTCGCCCAAGTGTTGCGCAAACGACAGCTACAATCACCCAGCACTTTGACACAACTACTTCTACCGCCTCTACATGTCCGGAATTGGAAAGCTCAACTTGGCACATGGTTACAAAGCTGGATTGCTTCTCATCGTGACTTGTTTCCCTCCCTATTCCTTCCAAAGATCCGAGTGGTGGAAACTCGCAGCGCCACGTTGGGCGACAAGATCTACAACTACCGCACATGGCAACGCAGATGGACTCCTGAAACATCTTTTCCGTGTCGCTGTTTGGGCATTGATGACCACCACCTACACCGTGCACATGAACATGCTGTAATGGTAGATGAGTTCTCACGCATCAATGCGGACATTGACATGGAGATCATGGCCGCGTCTATGAAGGATCAGTCTCAACGTCTTGGAGCTCCTGTACCAGCCATTGGATCTGCGACGCTCGTGAATGCAGACGCTAATTCCTCGGTGGACTCATCTGTTCCGGATGGGGCGTGGCGGGAACCTTCACCACCACCATTCTATGATCCTTGGAACGATTCGGGGTGATACTTGGGTAGCATGTCGGATAAAATGACGCGGTTGTCCCTGTGTTGAGTGCGATTCCATGTTGGGTTGTCTTGCTTTGTGTTGTGCGTTCCGTCTCCATGTGTTCGCCGCTTTCCTTTATGACTTCGAGCGGCTTGCCTGGTTGATATGTTCAATTCTACAATGTATGGCGCTGCACGATGGGCCCTGCCACACTACTTTGACTACGACATCGTCAATGGCCCCGCGAACACAAGCGTTGAGTGGATTCGGATCTATGTACCGGGTCCGTGGCATCCAGTCGCGGGGCCTGCCCCGGAGGACTCAACCACCTATCGGGAGTGGCGCAAAGTATACCGCTTCGAAGTGTATTGGCCGAGGGAGAGCGCGGGCGGCACCAATATGGGTGCTGTTTCTCAGCCGGTCTCTTATGCATCCTTCTATACTTGGCATTATCGGGACTGGGTCACCAGAGGATATCAACGGCTGGGTCGTCCACACCCTAGCATTGCGCGTCCAGTTTTCGCTTCGGGCTCACCGGACCTCATGTACGCTGGACTGACCTCTCCGTCGGCATCTTCAAACTCAGATGGTGGCTGATGCTCGTCCTCGTCTTCCTGGGGAGTCTGTTCAATTCAATTCGATTCAGGAGATGGACTTCAACACCTGAGCCGTGCGTTGCTGCAAAAGTGATTGCTTGCGTGGTTGTTGTTGTGTCTCTTGCAGTAATTGTTGTCTGCAGCCGTACACCTATCAATCTGTCTTCCCGGGTTTGAATTGTCATGCCGTGGCTGGAATGGTGTCCGGATCCTCAACAACCAGATGCCCAGTGGGTCAAGATCTTTCATCCGGGATCATGGACTCCACATGAAGAACATGATGCTCCACCTCCGCCTCACACATACAGAGAGTGGAAGGACGGTGCGCAGCCCAATGACAGCATGTGGTACAAAAGAGACTGGGCTACAGAGGGCTATCGGAGAGTCGCTGCCCCTCAAGCTGGTCATGACTTTGATTCGATGTCTTTTCCTGATCACCGCAACGTGGCCACGCAATCCGCGGCATTGAGTATGTCGCCGCAGATGTTGGAAGCGATTCTTAGATCCTCGGATGCGGCGGCTTTCTCCACTGAAGATCTGACTCGTCTCCAAGAGGGGATCTCTCAACAACTGTCGGATCGCGCACGTCACGCTTCCCACCAACACCAACCTGTACGTGCATCTCGTGGAATTGCACCACCGGAGACTGTTGGGGTCTCTGACCCGTACCGGCCTGTGAATCCATCAGGCACCACCGCGAAGGTCAAACCTATCTTCGAGCTAAATGATGACTAGACTCACGCGTGTTGGGCAGAATACAAAAAAGGGGTGGTTTTCATACTTGCACTACCTTGCTTGGTTGATGCTTGTGCATGGTTGTGCATGGTGCCTGTTTCTTTACTAGCTGGATCTGAACCCGCGATACGCCCTGCCTCTTACTTCGACATGGACATCGAGGATGCGAAGCTGCACCCATGGCTCGAATACTCGGTCTGGCAGGATCAGGAGTGGGTGCGGATCTATACTCCATGACAGCCTCAGCGGTGGCACCGCGGAGACACTGTGCCTGATCTACCTACCAGACAATTCTTTTCGGGAGTGGCAGCGGGTAACTGATCCCAGTGGGCGTACTGGTGAACACGGTCAGGCATGGACCATTCGCGACTGGCAGCATCAAGGATACCAACGCATTCTGCCTCGAAGGGAGTCCTTCACTACACATCATTCCCATGATCAATCACTTGGAGATGTTCAGAATTCCGATGCAATGCGCACCTTGAACCTTTCACGGCATTGGACACAGGGTGAGCTGGATGAGATGGTTCGACGGAAGAAAGACAAGGATTCCAGGCCCACCTACAAAACCATTGCTCGGTTCCTTCAGCAGCCCATTGAGGAAGTCAAGCAGGCCTGGAAGGTCTATCAGCAACTTGAGGCTCGCGGCTAGGAAGCCGTGCATCAAACGAGCCATTGACCACTGGAGGACTAACTCGCAGGGCGTGGCGGTGCGGTCGGGGAGCGCTGCAGGTTGTTGTGATGGCTGGGATTGTATTCATGGCTGATCACATGAATTTTGCTTGCTTGCACTTGCCTGACATTTTGACCAGTGAAATACTGTTTGCTGTTGTGGGTGTTGCTGCTGACTTGGACTGAATGCATGGCTGAGCTGCTCAAATCATGTCGGAGCAAGACGTGCAGACATGTGCTCGTAGACGACCAGGACATTATCATTGCAGGTGTGTACGGCATCAGCGGCGGTGAAGCATAGGTGTCGTATATTACAAACCTCGCTGCTGTGTCTCACTTTCAGTTTGAAAAGTTGCCTTGCATTGCTTCGGTTAACACTCTAGCTGTGTGTGGTTGTCATTGCTTTAGTGTCTTCGCCGCAGATTTTCGAGTGCGTTCAGCCACAACCTGTCTTGCCGCTATGAATCCTCACTATTTCGAGTACCAGATCGTGAGAGGAGTGGAATGGATTCGGATTTACACACCGGGCACGTGGCGGCCCGTTCCCAATGATGCTATAGTGCACGCCCCAATCTACGCTTCCACGTATCGGGAGTGGCGCAGGTCATATCGCTTCCAAGTGTACTGGTCAGAAGACAGCACCGGAGGAACAACAGTGGACCCCATCGTCACGCCCAGTTCGTATGTGTTCTACCACGTGTGGGAGTACCGCGACTGGCAAACACGAGGGCATTCCTGTTGAGGAAACGTTCACCTATGCCACTCCTATTTCTGATGGTGATCGCTCGACTGCTTCGCAATTCGCTTCAGTCCTCTATGGCGACACTCGCAATGCTCATCGTGGTGATCTCTCGTTCCCGTCTTCTGAGCGGTTTAGGGCTGTTTCGCGTTCCCCTCGCCGCGGTGGATATTTTGGTCAACGATAGGAACACGAAGTTGAGCATGTGATCTTCCTGCTGAAAAGGAGACTCCTCGCCCCTCATTGAGGGGCGTGTGTGTGCGGAGTGACAGAATACCCTGTCACCACCTTGGGCCGTTTTCGGAAGCAGGGGGCACGGCAGCTCATTCTCTAGCCGTGCCAACGAAGCTGTGAGAATGAGCCGGAAGGGAGTTTGGACGCAAACTCCTGTACCTGCAAGTGATTCTGAAAGTCCTTTTGGCCCCCTTGGTTGCGGCGCTGTTTGTGCTTCTTGTTCTTTCGGGTAACGTGTTCGCTGCTAGACGGAAGCCAAGTGACTGCAAGCCGAACCCACTCGAGACTCATCAGTTGTACTCGAGACTCATCAGTTGTACTCGAAAGAGTAGCGCTCTCCATTTGGAGTTCAAGTGTGTGTTTCTGTGTTTCTGTGCCTGTCTTTTTTTTTTGCGGGGGGGAGGGCGGACGCAGGGCGGGCGCATATTTTGAAACGGACGCCTTATGACTTTCTGGGGGGCCGCTGATTTCGATTGCAAACCGGCGAACACAGGGCTCGCCGGGCAACGGATGATAAAGGCGCAGATTGTGTCTGAATTCCTTCAGAAAGCGGAACGGCTGCTGCCAAAGGCTTTCCAGGCTCAAGCCTTCTTCAATGCCTTGGGCCCGGCCAATGTGTTTGGGGGGTGGTGTGTGTTTGGGCGCAGGAAAGGTTCCATGACAGTTGCCATGGATGGACCAAACACGCTCCAATTTGGAGGCCCAGGAATGCGGGGATTACCCGCCTACGTGTTGCACGCTTTTGTCCATCACCCCCCCAAACACACCACCCCCCAAACACACCACCCCCACACTCGCCACCGCCTAAACTCACCACCGCCCAAACACACCCCAAACACACCCCCAAACACATCTCCAAACATGTATGTTCGTCTTTCGCAAGGGGGTATGTTTGCTGGGTGTGGGGATGTTGGGGGAGTCCCCTTCAGGGTGTGAGACTGCTTTCACTGATGTTGGTGTTTTGCCAGGGACGCAGATGGACCTACGATGCCATTTTCGGGGCCCATGGTGTTTCCGACGTCCGACGCAATTTCCGGCGGATCAGGGACTCTGTATCCCCTTTTGGGCGATTGTAAGTAAGGAACCCTGAAGAGTGGGCTTCTCTTGCACGGTGCTTGGAACAAAGTGAACGGATCCCAGCCCCCAGTTGAACCACATGCGCGACCGTCATTTTGGTTCTTAGATTCCATCATCCCCAGGGGTATTCGTCAATTGTTCACGTATGCGAAGGCTTCGCGGACTGGGTCGATTGGGTCAACGCAAGGTCTTCCAGTTCGTTTCCCTTGAAACATCTTGGGAAAGGGGATCCTCTTTTTTTTCCAGCAACAACCCCCCAATGTGCCAAGCCCCAGAGCAACAGAGGCGGCGCTGTGAAATGGACTGAACAAAAGAATGACAAACAAAAATACAACACTTCCCGCCCCACACAAAAGACGTACACACACACACAAAGGCAAAAAAACACCCACACAAACAGCGAGGTCCCCCAGTAGTGCCCTTTCTCACCCTTTTTTTGGGGGAGGGTTCCCCTACTAAAATAGACTACAGAAAAAAGTTGGTAGTCTTAGTCTAACCTCTCTACTGTAGCTGGAAAAGCAGGCCTTTGGCTGAAAGTCCATTTGGAGCCAAGATCAAAATCAAGCAGGACCCTGGTTTTGCGGGCCCTTGGAAGACCAAGGCAGAAGCCAACAAAACCCCAACTCCACGGCGCCGATTGTTTTTGTTGGTCGAAGGGCCTCGCTCTTGGACCTGGCCGGGCGCCATGCAGAGGCCCAGGCGCTCCTGCAGGCCGGGGGGTCGGGTCCAAGTCCAAGGGACTTTGGAGGATAGGCAAAGGCATGCCAAAGCTTTCGAATCCCTTCCGCATTACCCGGAGCCGCGCAGACGACAGCTTTCAGCTGGGCAAAAAAGGGAACAGCTTTCAACCTGTCTGCCGTTGCTTTTGTCTTTGTGGCGGATTCCCTTTTTTAAGAGGTTCCGCTGGCTTGCACGGGACGATCATGTGAATAGCATGCTACCTGGTTAGCAGCCATATGGGTCATCCAACCTGCGTTTCGTTCCTTCGTTTCCCAGGAGCTCAATTTAAGGATTTCCATGGCATTACTCATGTGCTCAATTGGGCACTGCTTGATCGGCCAGAGTTGCTTTGAACGACCATCTGCTAGAGGGGCAATGGTGTTGAACGGCCGGTTTTGTGGCATTTCGCTTCGAAGAGATGTTTTTTTTCCCCCTCATTCGCGAAGCTTTCAGGTTCGATTCGCTGGTGACTGCTTTGGGCTCATTTTAAAGCGGATCCAGGGCTCGTTCAAAAGTCACTTTAAATGAGCGAAGGTTGCTCAAATCCACGCGACAGCTGGGGGTCCCAGTGAGGGACCGTCACATTCCCCAGACCCACTAGGTCCCCCAGCTAGGTGCCCTTGTACCCTTTTTCGCGGGAGGGTTCCCCTACTAAAATAGACTACAGAAGAAGGGGTACCCTTCTTCTAACCTCTCTACTGGAGGACTTGGCCCTTTCACTAGGTGTGTGTCGCCTAAATGTGCAAAAACAGCCTCATAACGGGTTCTGGTTGGGGTCCGGGTTTGTTTGGCATTCACGAAGTAACACGGACAAACCCGACGATTACTGGGATCTATCCTTCTCTTACCCTGCGCCCCTCCCCAATGTTCCCCTACATAAGGCCCGATAGACTTCTTGGTAGCATTTTATTTGGGGAACAGCGGGAGGGGCTTAGGACCTGCAAACAACGCGGCTTGCCATTCTGGGAAAAGCCGTTGTGCAAAACTGAAGAATCATCGTCTGAGCAAGCCGCGGCTTTCTTTCCGGAAGCGTCGTATGGTTTGCACTGTTCCAAGGAGATGATTGGTACGGTGGGGGGAGGGGGGGTGGGGGGGTTCGGAAGGCTCAGCTTGAGATCCCAAAAAACCCCCGCCGCCAGGGGCTGGGTGAACTTCCGGCAGGCTCCATCCGAGTCGTTTCATTCGAAGTGCTTCATCGCCAGTGGATTCTAAGCTATCGCCGGTGGCTCCCAGCCATCCGGTTCCTTAGCCTTTTGGGCTTCAGCGTTGAGTGGTGGCTTCCATTTCGCCCACTAAAAGTGAAACTGTTAGCAGGGATCTCAGGGCAGCCCAGTTGTGTTGAAAGAGTTCCCCTCCCTCCAACATGGAACCTGACTGATCCTGGAAGACCATTTTCCTGGGACCCTCTGGTGGGTTCCATGTTAGTGGATTGGAGGGAACTTCACATCGAATTGTTACCTCAGTTGGAGATTCGTGATTTCCCCATCGTGAGGCGAAACTGGCAGGGATCCCACGAAGATTCATCTCCAGTTGTGGCCGGTTTTTCCGCTCTCTTTGGTCGATAACAATTTTGATTCTCTAGCGAAATCCCGTCTGCGCAGATCTTAATTGCTATCTTGGGCCTTTAGACCTTCACAACTTTTTTCAGAGAATTCAAGTTGGTTTGCAACTAGACCTAGACCCACAAAACGTGCTCAAGGGATTGCAGAGGGGGTTTGCAATTAGACCCACAAAACGTCTTCAAGGGATTGCAGAGGGGTCACTTCCACCTGCCGTCAAGCGTCAAGCGTGGCTGTCGCGCCGTGGGAGCAACAGAAAGTCTCTCAAAATGGGGATCCCCCGATGGGCAAAGCTCCTTGGTTTGGTTTCCCAGACCAACCACTTCCATCTGGAAGGCATATGTGTATTATCCCTTGGTGTTAAAGGGACTCGATCACTACTGGACTTATTTTCTCATTCTTAGGGGGCTTAGGCAAATGAAGGAATACCAGCCAAAAGGAGGTCCACTATTTTGAGAATCTCCCAGGCATGTTTCTTGTTCTGGGAAGGCTGCTCTATAGAAGTTATGGTTCTAACCTGGCGACATAGGGAGGCATAAAAACAACTTGAGCCTTTTCTCTTGGCATGGAAATTGAGGGACATTGGTTGTTCAACTTCAATAGTGTGTTGCTGATCCCTTTCTAAAAGTACTCTGAATTGCGGGATACGTCTGGGAACTGCCACCTTAAAGGATACTCACTTGAAGTTGGCCCAACAGGTAATGTTTAGCTCCACTGGGGATAGATGGGGGGTGTCCTTTTGCGGGGACTGCTCTCGGTTTCCCTACACCCCGGGACCAAGCGGTTCTCATTCACCGCCCCCTTCACCCCGTCTGGAGCCGTGCAAATGGTTGAGAGAGTTTCCCCGTGAAGCATGGGGGCTGATCAATCTATCCGTTCGGCCCCCCAAATGACCATGGCTAACTTCCCCAGGTGGTTGAAATATCATCCTTTTAGCGGTTTCTTCCAATGGTCATCCTAAGGATCACCCCCCAACTCCAAGATGGAACGATTCATTTGAGGGCAGCTTCCTATACGTATCACACCCAACTAGACGGATACCCCGAGGCCAGTTTCTAGGAAGCCACGAGCCAGCGCTCATGAGGTCGCTGATACAACCAGCGAAGTTTGGTTGGTGCGAGGCTCATGGATTCGGAGTTGGGATTTTGGCAAGAATTTGAATCACCACAAGGCAATGACTCATCTTGGTGGTTCCCAGCCATCCGGTTCCTCAGCTTTTAGCTTTTTAGTTTTTTGGTGTTTAGCGGGGATTTCCATTTAACCCACTAAAACTAAAACTTTTAGCGGGGGATCTGAGGACAGCCCAGTCATGTTTCAGCTATTTGGGTTCCACCCCGTAAAGAGCTTTTCCCATGTTTGAACGCCTCGTACAAATCCAAAGGGGTCCTAGTCAAAGAGGGTTCCGCACTGACCCGAAAGGGTCGGGGCCAGAGCTCCCTCTTTCGGGGGGGACCTAAATACGCCCTTATTAGCTCCTTATTAAGGCCTTATTTAGGGCTTATTTGGGCTCCCTCCACGCCCTCCTCCCTCCTCCCCAGCCCCCATGACTCTTGGGAGTTCAAATCCATCTAGGCTTCTGCAAAGGAATCGGCCATTCGAAGCAGAGGTTGATGAGATTGCACCCACAGTTGAGGGCCAAGTCGCTTTCAGGTGACCCTCAAAACAGGGGCGCCAAAAAATGCCAGCTTTCCTCGCAGATATCCCTCCTTACAGGGCGCTCCAAAACCTTTGGAACTGTTGAAGGAAATTATGTTGGATGCCAAGCGTCACAAGATGAGAGGCCTACGCGCAGCGGTGTCCCTCTTGACGCACATGGTGCGCTGCCATGTACTCTGGGAAGAAGATCGAAACGCTCGCTCGGAGGCGGCCTGGCAAGTGGGGGCGGGTGTACCTTTGATTCCCTCAATGCCCTCAATGCGACAAGGGAACCAACCGCATCCAACAGCAACCATGGAATACTTTTCTGGCAGCCTCTTTTGTAACATGATACCATGGCAGGCAACATGGTACGGTCTTCAAGAGGGCCGAACAAAAGTGGGTAAGGGTCAAAATTAAGCCACCAGCGGACTGCAGGTTTTAGTCCTTCTTTCCGTTTACCGGGTTCCAATTTGGGGGTTACCCTATTCTTGACCTGACAAGGCAGCGGGTCCTTTTTGAATCGTGTCAGGCTCGAGGCGGCATGGTTCCGGTGGAGATCCTCTCGCCCGAGGCGGGCAAAAAAATCGAGACCCTTTGCCAGACTTTGCCTTGTACCTTTGGCCATGTTGGTTTCCTTCATTTTTACTTCCCAGAAGAAGGTCATTATTTGAGGGGGGGTTGGATCATTTGTGTAGACTCTTTTGATACCAGATTTTGTGATGTGAGCCCTGCTTATGTCCGGGTTCGGACAGGTTGTTTTCAAGGGTCAAACATGCTGATCGCTTTTCCCTAACAACACTAAAGACATATAGCTTTGTAAATAGGGTGTAGAACAAATTCTGAAATTTTGCTTTGGTCGGCACAGATTAGTTCCAGGAAAAGAAAGACCGACAGTCAGTGAAGTGTCGCCGACCTTATGGGGCTAGTCCTGGAGTGCCGGTTAGCCCCGAAAAAGCCTGGGATCGTCAGCTAGTTTCGGATGCTTTGGAATCGGCCTATTTTCAAAAGCGGTATTGGGGATCCTGGCGTTTGGGAAAACGCTATTATTTTATTAAGGGTGCATGTGTCAATAAAGAGAAAGGGATTCTTGCAGGTTGCCATTTGAAAGGGTTCGCCCCATGCGTTGGCCACCGCCCGAAAAACTTCTTAGGCTATTTTTACACATCATCTTTCGGCCTTCTCCAAGTGATGTCTCTCTCGCTTGGAAAGGGGAACCATGACCTTGGACTTGGTCAGGTTCTAATTTGCCAGCCAACTCCCAGGAGCGTACTTGCACCAGCAAACTTGCACAGGTACGCTTGCACGAGCACACTTGGACGAGCACACTTGCATGAGCACACTTGCGCGAGAAAACCAGCAGGAGCACACTTGTACGAAAAAACTTGCGTTGCACGAGAGACCCAAATTATGTTGTAAGGTGGCAAGGTGGGACGGAACCCACTCTGCGAAAAATGACGCCCTCTGTGATGATCAGCGTGGTCGATGTGCGAAACTTGAGACCGGTTGCTGCTTTCTTGAGATGCCGGAGCAAGGTGCACAGTACGAAGTATATACAAAGTGCACCTCGCAAGGTGCAAGCAATGTGCACGGCACAAGGTGCAAAGAGCAAGGTGCACACTGCATGGCGCAAGGTACAAGGAAGGCGCAAGGTGCAAGGCGCAAGACTGCCCTTTTGTATTCGCAGGTGCAAGACTGCCTTGTTGAATGTGAGACAGGTGCATTGCTCTGTGCTTGCCAAACCATGCACTCCAAACAAACAGTGCTTTCGGGCCACTGTCTTCTATCTAGTCTTTTCCAAGGGGATGAAACAACATCCATTTGTCCATTTGGCAGTTCCACGTCGGATTTTGAGTAGCAACCCCGCTCCTGAGATTCCATGAGGCGCCATAGTGTTGGGGGCCCACACAAATACCATTATTTAAATTCATGTTAAGTTGTCATAGCTCCTTGCCTGGGAACCAGTACCTCGAAAGTGGTTGGCAGCGCTGGAGAACCAAGACAGTGGCGGCGCCCAGAAAGAGGCTACACGGAAAGCAGGCGCCTGAAGCGCTGGCGCAGCGGAAGAACAAGAAGAAAAAAGTGGATAAGACGACGGAGAAAAAGAAGACACAGAAAAACAAGCAGGCTGAAGACAAAGCCTGCCAAACAGGCGGCACGGGCTTGGTGCTTCCCGACCCGGAAGCTGCATCCTGGTACGCGCCAGAGCAGCATATTGTTTCACAAGTTTCACGTTGTTGTTGAGGGGCATGGCGCAGTATCGCCCGTGGTTTTGATGGGGTCTTTGGCCCATTGAGGGGGTGATGGAGGCTGCCTTAGTGATGTCCATCAAAGGGCGACCAAAGTTCACACAAATATATTGCCACACACACACACCCACTTAAGATTCAAAATCCCCTTTTTCTCCTCGCAAGCGAGAGCCAACACCGTCACCAAAAACAGTTGTTGTTTTTTGACCTTTGGGGTATCTCTTTTTTTTCTTCTCGGGATAGACATACATGTGCGTGTGTGTGTGTGTGTGTGGGTGGGTGCGTGCGTGCGTGCGTGCGTGGGTGGGTGGGTGGGTGGGTGGGTGGAGGGTGTGTGGTTGTGTGTGGTTGTGTGGGTGCGTGTGTGTGTGTGTGTGTGTGTGTGTGTGTGTGTGTGTGTGTGTGTGTGTGTGTGTGTTCCTCACAGTAGCAATCAGTCGCCAAGAATGGCAACGGTTCGCGTTTGGCTTCAATACTTAAATTCGGGGCCATGTTGAGAAGCACACATCCGTGGGACCGAAACTCATTTGGGTCGTCGACATGACACCATCATGAGACCGCGGTTTGATTTTTTTTTGCCAGGGTTCCACTTTGAGTTCCTATGCTGGACCCACACCCATTTCGGGGGGCCCCTAAACAGGGCGGCGCGTCAAAGCTACGCCTTGCTCCGGAGCTGCTTTTGCGAAGGTGCCGCCCGCGGAGCTGCGAAGACGATTCCTGGAGCCAGGCGGAAGGGGACCCATCTAAAGCTCGGGGGGTTGGGCGGTGTGTCGTTCCCTTCTTGGACATGAAGGCTGGGGTAGGCTTAGGATACATTTTATATTTTTCCAGTGACTCGAAGGGAAGCGAAGAATAAAGTATACATTCAATAACTGGGCCTAACTCTAATCATGAAGGGGAAATCCAATGACCTCTGTGTAGATTGCTCTGAAGGTACCAGTTTTTGGGTGAGCTGTGAAGGTCAAAGGTAGAATAACGATTCTGAGGGGTTCCCCTTTCCCACCAGAAGTTTCGCAAGGGACCCACGAACCGCCACGATATTTTTCGACTTGAGTTCGAGGAAACCATTTAGGTGAACGCCCTCTTTGGTCATATGGGCTGGGTGTCTAGAACAAGCGGGAAGCCACACGAGGTGGTCAGTTGGGCCATTGGGGGCTCGAGAAGGGACTCATGGAATTCCAACCGCGGACCCCAAAATTCCAAAGCGAGAAGCCAAGAAAAGCGAGTAGCAAGAGTAGGTTAAGAAAATTGAGCAACGCCCAACATCCCCATAGTAGATGGTTCTACCAGGAACAAGGATAGTGAGGCCTTGACCCCCGCATGTGGCTGCTCAATAGGTGTTTCTCATTTTGTTCTTGGTTTCCTTTTTCCCTATGAGCTGCACACTTATTGGGGCCAATGCGAAACCTCCGTGGTTAGCAGCCATCCCCTTCGGTCTTAGGTTTTTTTTAGGGTTTTCGTGGTAGCTTCCACTAACCCACGAGAAGTTAGACTCATCCCCAGACGTGGCCTTTCTCACCCTTTTTTGGGGGGGTTCCCCTATACTAAAAAAGACTAGAAAAAGGGTAGCCTTATTCTATCCTCTCTACTGGCAACCTAGCCACCAAAAGTTAACAACGTGTTTTGGCAGAGGATTTGGGAAAACCGCCCAGAATCCGTGGCATTCCGGATTTGTGAAAGGTTGGGTGAAGAATTGTACGATTTTGGCTGGGCTTCTACCAAAGCTTTCGCACATTTTTTGGGTGAACATGTCTCCAAATTTTCCCCCGTCGGGTCACGGCGAGAGGCGTGCCCTGCGTGCTGCGGGGCTGCCCGGAGGTGGCTCCGCGCTGGGGGCCTTTGGAGCTGAAGAAGCTCTTGGGAGATCAGCAGGCGCGGCTGGTTTAGGGGTCTCCGAGCCCAAAACAAAATTTGTCCGATATATATATATATATATATGCTCCACGTGTGTATATACATATACATATAGAAATTTGTACTATCTCTATGTGTATATATACATGTAGAAATAAAACAGGAAACCTTTCCAAATTCATGAGCCCCGGTTCCTTTTTGTGGGCCCGATTGAGCGGACCATTTTGGGGTTCACCATGTTTCAAGCGCCAAGTTGAAAGTTGCCTGTTTGCTGTTGTCCTCTTCTGGGACCTCTTTCCGAGCAACCCCACGAGAGGTTGATCCCCCACTTCTTCAACCATTCTTTTCCAAAAGCATTTGTATCCTTTGATTTCATGGCCTTTGAGGGTTTTCGATGGCGTGGATGGTTTTATGGTCGTGTTCTTTCCTTGGGCTTTTCGGGCGTGGCCGTACCAATTCCTCGAGGCTCGGGCTTTTCAGGTACCCACGAGGAGGTGTGAGGAGTCGTCCGGGAGCTGGGCGAGGCTGGAGTTTGTCCAGGCCCAGAAGTTCAAAGACTTCTGCGAGGCCGGGGTCAGCTCAGGGGGAAGGAGAGAAAACCAAAACCCATTTTCTATGGTTTCCTTTAAGGGAATGCTCCAAAACCGGTTCATTCCCAACACCCTGGGTCATGGGGACAGCAGGGAATCAGGGAATGAGAAAGGGACCCAATAGCCACGAGTTGTTTTCTCATTCAACATGTTTTTGGGGCCTACCCACTTGAGCCAACCATTATTCATGGCTCATATGGACGCCCCAAACGGCTATGATTTTCCACTGGGGACCCGCCCCACCATGATGCCCACCATTTCGGGTTCCTTGTCCAAGATTCAGGCCCTAAATAGGATATGGGAACCACCCTAACATGGCAACGGGCTGCTTTCCCTTGAACACGAATCTCAAGAAGGGTAAACAAGCTTTTTTGTGGGTGTCGAGCTCACCATAGGCAGGAACAAAACTCATGAAGGTCCTCTCGGAGACCGATGTGTTTTTTTGCATATTGGCTTGTCTCTAAGGCGAGCCTCAACATGAGTGGCTTACTGGCGTCCATTTGAACCAACCCCACAAAGGGTACCCTTTTAAAGACACGGCCATATGGGTGTGTCTTTTTTAGGGGACCCCTCAAAAAGGTGGTTTTCTTTTGGTTTCAATTGAAAAACCACAAAGAAGGGGTACCGCCAAAAAAAGACACTGGTCAAGTCTTGTAAAATTGAGTCAGCTTTCAGGATCCTTCCCAGCAATGTATGGAAGGGGGGCTACCCGCGAACCATTCGAGCGGGGGAGCACGGTTTTCTCACGGTATTGAAAGGCTGGCATTCAGGTCCCGGTTTGTACAGCAGGCTATGTGTGGAAGGTGCTTTCCTGTGGCTGTGCCTCGAAAAAAGGTGCCCAACATTGCATCTTGGTATATGGAGACAAGACCAAAACTGCGTAACCCCAGCTGTGAAATTTTGAGCCATACCCATGTTTTGGATGCTCGGGTTTCTTTCAGTCTTGTCGCTTTGAAGGGCTCGAACTCGGTGTCTTCTGGCTCGATGGTGTCAGGACCGAGCCAACAAGATGACCCAGACACATGGGTGCGTCGTGTTTTGTTAAGCGAAACCAAAAGGAAACTAACAGTTGATATAGGGCTCCCTACTTTCAGACACACCCATGTGCCGGGCGCACAAACCAATGCTGTGTGACTCCGTTTTGAAACGTGTGCTTCTGATGTTTCCCTGTGAAAGCGGTTTGGTATGCGGGAATGACTGCCTTCCATACTTGTAGTTGACATGTGAGATTGGCCTTCTGAGAAACAGGTCCCCCGAGGGTCATATGGGCCATATGGGACCACGAGCAGAATTTCAGACTGGAGCAACACGTTCCTATTGCCTTTGAATGGGGAACCACCATTTCTCAAAGGCTGATCATGGCTCCCCACCATGGCCACTATAGAATCCTGGATTCGGATTCACACTCTCCTCGTTATTTCTCCCCCCGCAGGCGCACATTGAGCCCTTCAAAGATGGCGCGGGCCCCGCCATCTCGAGCTTTTGAATCTGGAACGGTGGAAACTCCAAAAACTCATGGGTCCATGGGGACGTGGACGTGGGAGTTCATGTCCACCAACCACTTTGGAAACAGAGGCAAACTTACCCAACATAAAACCTGACTCCGAATCCAAAAATTATTTCAGTACCCCGAAGAGCCAAGACAATTCTCCCCCTGCAGAGATTGCTAAGGAACCCCAACACCCCCTTGCTGGGTGGTATGTCAATTTGTATTATGTGTATACATGTCTACATACTGATCGAATTTGTGTTGCACAACCCTTTGCCATGAACCGGGCTTGACATCACGGACAAGCGAGCAAGCAAGCAAGCAAGCAAGCAAGCAAGCAAGCAAGCAAGCAAGCAAGCAAGCAAGCAAGCAAGCAAGCAAGCAAGCAAACAAACAAACAAACACACCCACACACTGAAACAATCAATCAAGCAAACAAACAAGCAAACAATCCCAGCGCATGGGTGTATGAGAGTATGTATGTCGGTGTGCAGGCATGTAGGTCTGTCGGTCTGTACGTATATATGTATGTATGCATGCATGAATGCATGAATGTGCCTGTATGTAGGCATGTATGCATGTACGTACGTATGTATGTCCGTCCGTTTGTCCTGCCTGCCTGCTTGCCTGCATGCGTGATTGTTGTTGGCCTGCTCGGTTGCGTGTTTGTTTGCTTCTTCGTTTGATTGCCTAAGTACCGGTGGTTGTGTGCTTGGTTGTTTGTTTATTCGCTTGCGTGTTTAATGGTTAATTGCTTGTTGTTTGAGACAGGCAGGCAGACTCGGACCGACAGACAGGCAGACAGAGACAGAGAGAAAAACAGACAGACAGACGGACGGACGGACAGACAGACAGACAGCCAGAGATAGAGAGAGAGAGAGACAGTACGAGAGAGAACAAGAGAGCAAGAAGAAAGAAAGAAAGAAAGAAAGAAAGAAAGAAAGAAAGAAAGAAAGAAAGTAAGAAAGAAAGAAAGAAAGAAAGAAATAAAGAAAGAAAGAAAGAAAGAAAGAGAGAGAGAGAGAGAGAGAGATAGAGAAAGAAAGGAAGGAAGAAAGAGAGAAAGAAAGAACAAAGGAAAGAAATACAAAATGAAAGAAATAAAGAAAGAAATACAGAAAGAACAACAGAACGAAAGAGAAAAACAGATACACCCCTTCAGGCCCCGTTTGTAAGTGCTCCGTCTGTGGACTGTTTTTTTCTTGGGGCTGCTACCTGGAAAGTCATGTGCTTCATGAGCTGCTTCATAGGATCTCCACCCCCCTTCCAACTCACTGGCCTTTCCTCCAAGCTCAAGGCTTGGGCGGGGGGGTTTGGAGAAGGGGTGGGACGGTGGGACCATAGAAGTGACGCTTTCCATCGTTTTTGAAGGAGGGCTACATTCTATTCAGCTGAGCAGATTCTGACGATGGCTTGCGGTTAACGCGAGCTCGATGAAGGTTCTTCCCTTGGTCCTTGCTTCTTGGTGAACGAGGGCTGACCATCGCCTGGTGCAGTTGATGCACCCACCCTCCCCCCGTGTTTTTTTCCTCGGGTTGCCCGATGGTTCGGGGGAGAGCTCCTGCAACTTTTGCAGGCGCAGCTCCTAGAGAGAGCCCACAGCTCTTCGACTTCTCCATTTGGCAGCGCCTCGGTTTGCGATCGGAGTCTCGCTGGCGTGCAGGTTTTGGAGCGACATGGGGTCCGGGGTCTTGGCAGTTAGACCAGCCAGGTGCCGGAGGCGCTCTGAGGTGGTGTTTTTGTTTTCCCCATTTGGAGGGATCAGGTTCCCAGTTTCAAGTGGTTCTCAACGGTTAAATATGTCAAATCCGGCTAGAAGTTTATGTCTTGTAGCAAGGGATCAGGGAACAGTCAAAGCATGGATGAAGGGCCTAGCTGAATCTGATTGCCCACTTTTCTTGGACAAAGTATCCAGGAACGCAATATCCTACCCCAGTTTTGAACCATCCATGTGGTGTGGTAGCTTTTTGAGGATACCCCAGCATTGGCTGGCTTTCGGTCTGAAGTCAAAGCTGCGCGGTAAACGAGGTTCGAATTCGGTGGATCCCGCAAAACAACGACAAAGAGCTGTGATTCCCTAGACTTTGCAAGCCACTACCCATCCTGAAGTACACATTGTTTTCCCCTGCACCATTTGCGATCCTTTTGGAAGCCATACTTGGTGGCTTGCGTTCGCCTTGGTTGTGGACATACCCTCGCGCCCGAGGGTAGGGGAAATGGCTCCATGGCAACGAGAGGGCCATCCACCTGCTGAATCAAGAGCTGATTTGAAGGTCTCAGAGGTACTCGCTTTGCGAATACAAGTACTCGCTTCCGGGAGCGAAGCCGGGCTTTTCTCATTGGTCAGAGTGTCCGAGCCAGTTCCCTGTTTGGAACCTAAGTGGCAAGTTCAATGGAAGCCACCAATATCCGGTGAGCCTCGGAGCCAAGTGAACTCGGCTGTCAAAATAATGTAAGTGGATGACCAACTCTCCGAACTCAGAGTTTTCATCCATTTCTGGCTCTTGTTTTTGGGACCCGTTTCGGGGGTCTGGTTAAGGGGACACCACAGCCATTTGTCCATTGATCCCGAAAGATGAGCCACCCACTTTGTCCAGAAGCCTTTGGAGCTGCCAAACCAAACCCAAGCTGGCCTGTGACTTTTGAGAGTAGCACAGAAGTTTTCCACGAGCTGTGGCCGCGAGTAAAAATAACCCCACGCCTCTCCATGCTGTATGTGCAAAATGCTTTGCCCAACATGCATCGAAGCAAACCGTTCTTCAAATCAACAACATAAACATCAACGGTTCTGATTGGTTGTCTTGAGTGGTTCATCTTGAGCGGTTCGTTTCAATTAGACCAGGAGAAAAAAGCCTCAGCTTCCCCGATACCCAGAGGAATTCTCCAAGGACTGGCTCAGATCTTTGCGCCACCTTTGCGCCACCTTGCTGTGCGTCCTCCATGCGTGAGCTGGGTTCATGGACCCTGGGCAGGTTCCAATGAAAAATCCGAGTATGTATGAACTCGTCAAAGTTATTTTGAGGGTGCCCCTTTTTTACGCGTTTGTGTTTCTTTTCTTTTTTTTGGGGGGGACACCAACAGTTGAGCACCCAGGCAATTGTGCGGGGCAAAAGCTTAAAGACGAGCCACCCATATAGAAACATTGGGATGTTTTGGGTTGAGCTGGCTCCTGAGGCACTGTGCCGACACCCTTGGCCGCCAGGCCCGCGCTTGGGAGATGTCCATCGAAGAATCTTTCCGTCGTTTTCAACTCCCTTGGTGGTGAAGGGCGGTGAGATGAGTGGAACTGAACCCCTTCTTAGGGATTGATATGGCCGTGGGTCAAAGCCAATGGCACCATTTTGGTAGGTAGGTTAATTCACCACCCATTTTAGAACCTATTTTAGTGGGGATCGGGAGTTTTGACCCATGGCCATATGGTTTGTCTCACTCGACCTTCAACAGTTAAACTTTCGGGCAGGGGAATCGCCCTCATGCTTTTTCAACTTGTTTTACTGGGGTCCTTTTCGACTGTCGAACCAAGTACACGGCCTTCGGGCAGCTTTCCACATTGAGCCGGAAAAAACCCAACACTGCTTGTTGTTCGTGCCACCTGCGCAAAACGCAGAGGCAAATCTATAGTTTGCCAGAATGAAGGCTTTGTCCCCGCAAGACCTTCAGCAGGTGCGTTGCGCAGACAAAAAAGGGACCCCAGAATCCTATCAAGAAAGATGAATGTACTTAGCTAGCAGGAAAAATAGTTACCAAGGCTACTTAAGAGATTGCACTAGCATTCGTGGTTTTCGAAGAACAACATAACAGCCCACAATGGGGCCAAAACAGCCAATGCCAAACAAATGATGGTTGTCAAGCCAAAAACAAGTTGTTGTACACGGCCTATTCTCTCAATCCGTCGAGGAAGCGTAGGGGGCTATGTTGCTTTGCCTTTCCTTAGCTGTCTCCAAGAGGGGCCGTCAACGAGTTGTGAGGAGGGGGCCGATCATTTTTCCAAGTTCCGTCGGGGCGTCAACTCCTAAGGATCCCGAAAGTGAATTTGTCTCGGAGGTGTGGTCAAGTTTTCCATCCTTTCGCCTTGGGAGGGACCAGAAGGGCAGTCTCCCAAGTTTCCAACCACAAAAACCACAACACGAGCCCGCAATTTCCTACGTCTTGCGGAGAAGCCAAACGAACGCTATCCATTCTGAACTCAATTTGAGACAAGTCCACGCCGTGTAGCCCACGGCCATCTTAGTGTCTGAGGGTTCAGCAATATACAGTTGGGTAGGTACCCCTGGTAGCTCCCTCGTAAATACGCGGATGTGCCCGTTATGTGTCTGTACCCTCCATATCTTTGTTGGCTTCTGCAGAATTTGCAGCATTTGCAGCACGCTTTCTCCTAGAGGCATGCGTGGCAAGAGCCCTCTGATCAACAGACCTGGGTTGAAGTTGAGTAGGAGACAGTCCCTTGCGATCACTTCTCCACCCCAATCAAGGAAGCTCTTGTGGGAGAAAGGCTTTCATGGGATAGCTGCGACAAAAAGGATATCATCTTGAGTCTTGAGAACCACTTCGGTTTCCTCTCATGATTTCGAGGATCATTTTAAAGATGTCTACTAAACCCAAAAGACCCCGACAAAGGAGGCTAGGTGTTTTGGTGCGTCTCAGGTGTCCATGCCGAGCCAATGGTTTCCAGTGGACCTCTACACCTACGCCGGCGCGAGAATACAACCGGCTGACTGGCTGCAAGTTTGAAAGACACCGCGCGGTTTTGATCGTCGTGAGCCGTTCTGCACCCCTTGAAACATGAATGCTTTCGTCCCACACATCTAGGGGGCACTTCCATGTCCATTCTTTCCAGGGATCCTTCTTTTCAGAAAACCAGCAGAATCCAAGGGGAAACAGCTGGTTTTTGAAAAGAACGATGGTTGAACAGAAAGGGGAATCAACCCCTAGAACAAAGGGTTTCCCGTTCCAAGGGGGGGGGGGCTTTTTGGGAGACAACCAGTGGAAAACCATCCTTTTGTTCTAGAAAAGCTCCAGAAACCCAGGGAAAACGGCTGGTTTTGAAAAGGAACGATTGAAAAACATGGAGAAGGAATCAACCCCTAAAGGGATCCTAAAGAGGAATCAGAAGTTCCACTTCACCCAAGATGTTGGCCAAGTGGAAGGTTATAAAGGCTTGTTACGGGGAGCCAATGGAACACCTGCAAAGCCACGAAAGCAAGGGGGGGCGTCTTCTTGGGCGACCGCTTTTTGGGTGTGTTATAAACGGGAATCCCTGGAGAAAAAAACAACAAAAATACCATCCTTTCGCTTCCCCCGTCATTTTGTGCCAGACCCGACGTCCCGTTTGGGGCTCACCAGCTGACGTCTCCCAGGTCAGCGGCTCGGCGGGGCCCACGCTCTTCCTGGCGCCCAAAGGCTCCGGCTCCTCTCTGCACGTGGACACCCTGCAGCCCTTCGGCGGATTGGAGGATTGTTCGCGAGGCGGAGTGGTCGGGCGGAAAAAAAAGCGGGAAGGACATGGTGGGTTGCTTTGGCTTTTTCGGGGTGTCCTACCTTTTCGGCAGGTGCGTCCAAAAGGCCTGAAAAGGTGTCTTGACGCTTCCCAGGCGGTTGCTTCCTTAAACTTTTGGCTTAGGGTTTGGAGTGATTCGAGCTTGGCTTAAAGCAAGGGACCCATGAAGCACTAAGCCTAGATTTCCCTCCTAGCGGGTCGGGCCCATGGGTTTAGCATATTTGAGGTTGCCTGGGGTCATTTTTCAACGGCTGGGTGTCACTTGATCCAAGTTAGAGGTCTCCTACCACCAATGGGAGCCCGGGATTCGAGGCTCTGTTAGAGTCAGGGCTGCTTGTTTTTGAAGGGGGACCCAAAGGAGGTTGGATTGTTGTGGTTTGACAAGCCCCGATTTTCTAGAGTCGCTCTAGACGGCTTGCAAAGGAGGTTCTCTGAACACAGGTCTCTCTAGCTGATGTTTGCCCCCAAAGAAAATTCGAAGCCTTACTCGCCTCTCGTTTAACCAAGCGCCCCTCTTTGCTGTGGTCTCCTCCGAAACTATGTTATATGTTAGGTAGACTATGAGACACGATCTGAACAGAAGAGTTTCTGTGTACAGGGCCGAGTTTTCTCTCGGCTGTGGCAGGGGACACTTCTGGAGCTGCAGCCAGAGGGTGGAAAGCCGCAACCAACCCAGCGAAAGGCAGCGCCCAGAAACTCCGGGACTTGGGAGCCCAGATGAATGCCCTTCGGAGCCTTGGGCTAAGCGTTCGCAACATGTGTCAACGACTTATTTTTTCCACTAATCGCAGCAAGGGGGGGACCACTCCAATTGACTTAATGGATCAATGTTGAGTCAATGTTGCCACAACCTTCTGCCAATCATGTGAAAGCGGGTCAATCATGATCGGTTGCGGATGTAGCATCCGAGGAAAATCCATCGTTTCCCCAGTGGGCAGACCCAAATCCAGGTCCGTGAGTCGTTCTTCGCTGCACCGAATGCGCCCAAGGACACACTTCTGGATGGCCAGCTGCTCAGGGCCGCCTGTTCTGTCAACTTGTCATTCAAGGGAGGTTCCCACCCCCAGAAGTAAGATTGACTCCATCAAAATCTTCAGATTGGTCTACATTGGTGGTTTGGATTGTTTTTTGGGGATTTGAACACCTTTGTAGAGGGTAAGTGGGAAACCATACCCCAAGCTCCAACCCGCCAACCATTTTGGAAGGCTGCTTTAAGGGGCTCCTGTGCACTACGTTTGTTGGAGTCTGGAACCTCCTTTTCACTCTCCCAGCTTAGCGCATGATTTTCACGTGCAACCCGAGCACCGACATGGTCAGCACCTCCTTCCCCAAACAAAACGGCATGTTCTGAGCCTTCTGGGGACCCCTTCTGTTGGGTTAATTGATTTACTTGCTTTGCGGAAAGAGCTCGTGGGAAGGCCGATTTCCCTGGGAAGGCAACTCTTTTCCTGGGGTTGGCCTGATCGTGCGGCGAGCATCAAAGTTGGGTGCCCTGGAAATGTAGCGACTCCCAGGGAGGTGGTAGTTCTATGTCATGGGTAAGAGAATCGATAACTCGTTTGGGGCTGAGGGAATCGAATTAGATCCTTTCGCGCCCCAGCCGCGGAACTGCCACTCTGTACGGATGGATCGTTCCAAGCGTCCAGGCTTCCACACATCCGTTTGGGCAATCATCCGATCATCTTTTTTATGGAGGTCAGTAGCCGATTTTTAGTCTAGACAGGACATGGCACACACACACAAATTGCCCATTTGAAGCCAAATGGTCCCTACTGTGGATGGATAAAATCCTGCACCAGTTAGTAGATGACTTAATCCAATATTCAAAGGGTTTCATCCATCCCAACTGGTGCAGGATTTTGTCCATCCACACTATGTTCAACCATGCCCCCTTGAGAAACGGGTCGAATATTGAGATGGCAACTGGACTTCAACACCCCGATGCATTCCAGACGTGCTGGTTAGACTCGAGCTCACCACAAACTCAGTGATGCAACAACCAATCCATGAAGTCGCACTGTCAACGCTGCAATGAAAACACCGAAGACACCCGATGTTGTGGAAGCAACCCAGACATACTGTGGGTGCACAAAATCCTGCACTATGTTGAAACCATGGGAAGCCGTTGTTTGTTGGAATTTACACGGGAATGGAATCATTTCGGGTTTGTTTGGGTGGTGCAAAATGGATTTCGCAACCATCCACAGTATCAGCTGCAAAGGATCTTGTTTGGCCTGGAGAAAATGGGCCGAAGAGAGGTCCCAAGACTTTCTTAGGCCATGTGCCACGGGCGAAAGCGGTGGCGACTGGTGAGCAGAGTCCGTGCCTCAAGGCATTCGAGGCAGTTCAAGGTCAAAGTGTCCAGTCTTCCATTTGATGAAAGGAATATTTGGTATTTTTAGGGAATCGATTTCAAGATTGGACATATGCTCTCACTTGGGTCCAGTGGCCGAAAAAGCAAACGGGACGAGCCGGATTTGTTTTTTTCATGTCCAAACCTGCGAGGGCCCACTTTGAGGGCTGGCCCTCTCATGGCAACCGAAGGTCTTCGAACCACCCCGCATGCTTGGCACTGGGGTGAAGGATATATGAGATGTATGGCCTCTGATTCTGGTATGTATCTAAGCAACAAAAACCCAAAGGTGATCGATTTTCCTGCTGGCTTCCCAATTTAAGCTGTTTCCCGGGTAGCCTCAAAAACAGAAGCCCATTCTGTAATTACCCATGTTTTTTCAAAGACTCAGCGGGGCCCGGCTTGCCTACTCTCGTTGCATGTTGTTCACGAAGAAACCCACCTCTGGACATGAGCCCCTCTCACGGATCTCATGGGCAAAAACACGAATCTTTGCCAGAGCCAGAACCCTCCAGCGAACGTTCGGGGACAACCCCATAGGTGCGGATACCTCTCTGGATGTGTTGGGACTCTCGACGTATGCATGCCGATTGGACCAGCAAACGGGCTTCATAGTATATGAAAAAGGACAGAGGCCAAACTGGAGACCTCGCCATTGTTTTTTTTGGTTTTCGAAAAGGCCAAACTGGAGACCTCGCCAAATTTCCGAGCTTTTGGTCTTGTTTGGTTCCCGACCTGCGTTTGGTTTGCTGTGACCGACTGGGTTTTCGAAATTTCCTTCAACCGCAGTTGGGGGCACCTGACTTTGTGTCACATTAAGGTGGACCGTTCTCCTCGAAACCGGACACGAGTTTGTGGGCTCCATGGACCAGAGAGGTGTAGGTTGAAACTAAGAGGAAACCAAGAGAGTTCAATTGATTCTGACATAGAGGCATTGCTCATCAATCAAATGGATGGAACACATCAGATAGGCGCAGCACATGTTTGCTGACCTGTGTGTGTGTGCGTGCGTGTGCGTGTCTGTGTCTGTGTCTGCGTTTGTGTCCGTGTCGGTGTTTGCCTGGAACGCTTTGTACAATTGTTGAATATGTACATATTAGATATATGTACGGAAAGTTGAGTCGATGTGCGTATTTGTATACATGCATGGGTATCTTTACTTAAGTATGTGTCTGGGACATGTGCATATGTGTATACATATACATATATATATATATATACACACATACAAATCTGGGTTTGCGCGTGTATGTCACCGCAACCATACTCGAGGCCACACATCGCGCGTAGACCCAACACATTGTCGATATGCTCTGGTGCAAACTGAAACAGTGTTCTGCTCCCTATTAATGTGGAACCCAAACAAGAGGTAAAGGCAGTCTCTGCTAGAAAACCCAACACAGCTCTTCTGGTGTTAGCAGGGGGAGAAAAGCAGACTCCTCTAGAAGTTGTTGTTTGAGTTCAATGTTCATTTGCACTGCTGGCTCGCGTGAGGATGATATCTCATTGCTGCACCCCATGTACTTGGCCGATCTGAACCCGGTCTTTCCCGCGGACTTGAATGCCTTGGAGGCTGCGCGAAAGATCGGTGCTTCAGTGTTTCAGCGAAAGGCTGACTCCCTGAGTTTTTGGACTTAAGCTTTTTGGGACGACCATGTCAGGGGTAAATTAATCAATCAACCAACCAACCAACCAACCAACCAACCAACCAACCAACAATCAATCAATCAATCAATCAATCAATCAATCAATCAATCAATCAATCAATCAATCAATCAATCAATCAATCAATCAATCAATCAATCAATCAATCAATCAATCAATCAATCAATCAATCAATCAATCAATCAATCAATCAATCAATCAATCAATCAATCAATCAATCAATCAATGGATCGATCGATCGATCAATCAATTAATGAATCGATTTCGCCAAGTGCTGCGCCTGCCACAAAATCTTGCGAACATGCTGCCGCATGCCACGAAATTTACACCCGACCTTGCGAAAGTGCTGCGCCTTTCTCTTTTTCCGGCGTCGCGAGCTGGAGCCCCGACTTCGAAAACCTTTCAAGCCCCGAAACCCGCAGTCTGCGGGGTTGCGCTGGTTTGACAAACGTTTATTCCCCCGCATCACGCGCAAAAACCTCTTTTTTTGTGCACGCTTATTCTTCCCTTGTCAGCTGTCAGAGGGCTAGCTTTAATTAGCTGCCATACCCTTCCAAACTTTGGTTGAAACGATATTGGCTCGGGGGTTTGCATGAAATGTTTGGGATCAATCTTCAAGCTGGAGCCATGTTCTTTTACCCTGACCTGTGGTTCCTGTGCCGTAAGAGGCAAGCAGACGAATGAGTCGGGGGCAGCCAGTACCCGGTGTATATACAGTTGAGTGAAAAGAGATGGCATTCACCAGTGCTGGTTTAGCCATCCTCCTTACATTTTACGCACAGGGGAATGGTCGCATTTGCCAACTCACCTACTCAAATAGTTAACCAAAGACTGTGGATCCTTGTGCTACATAGGGGTAACCAGGGTCAGATGAGCGGCCGGCCCACAATCAAGGTTGTAGGCAGCCCTGGTTGGTGATTCATTGCGATGCACCTAGAGAACCTGGGGTCTTCTTAAAACTGATTTTCTGTTTTAGAGACGGCCAAACATGAGACAGAATCTGACAATATAGTCTGGAATACCCCGGATGTGGGCCAAGACACGGCGACTTCAATAATTGTTTTGCCGACATGCTTTCGGAGATTGCAAAAAGCCATGTGGGAGCGTCGCACCGCATCAACCTGGCAATAGGGGCCACCCCTCGGAATCAATCAATCTGACCCTGAATTCCTATTACCCGAAGGAAATCAACCGCTGGACGCAGCACCAAGGCCCCATGCACAAGAGAAGCCGCGTCAGCCGCATGGAAGCAAAGGTTCGGAATTCCAGTGGAGTTTCTACCAGGACCTCAACATGCCCTCAAATAGCAGTCGAACAAACTTGAGTGTTTTCAAGTTGGCCCGTCAAACAAATCCGTTCTTGGAATACAGTTGTTTGTTCAGACTTGCCGACCTACCTCGGTATGTGTGATGTATCTTCCATGGCATGTTTGTTTGGCCCTTGCAGACCTCCAAGGGCCCTCAAGGGATTGTTTTTGGCGAAGAGACCTCAAGTGACGAGAGCGAAACCACATGCGCCAGGAGACTTCGCCCGGGCGCGCCGGAAGCTCGGTGTGTTGATTCTTTGCTGGGCCCTATTGGCTGGATGCAATCGGGAGCCACCTCAAAAGTGACTGGACATGACTCCCGACTGCAATGATGTGCACTGGGTCCGGGACGTGTTAACAATTCACAGCCTATATTGCTCTCCTTGGCACCTTTTGTTGACCCATAGGGTTCTAACCTCAAGGGGCTGTGACGCAAATGTTCGGGCCTAAGGCCCAACGAGTTTTGACGTGAGTCATTGCCTCTCAATGCCCAAGCAAGTCTTTTTCAGGCGATTGGGAACAAGGCTTGATGGTTTCCATAGGCCACAGGATTCCGCATGGAACCCATGGAGGCTTGATGGAATGCTTGCAACCCCAACTGGCAAATCTTTTAATACCTTACCACATTTCTATCATTGGTGGAAGAGTACCATTGCGGATACCGCCCTGAATCTTTACTTTAGCTGGGTCCGCTTTAGTAGGAGGTGTTGATGACTCGGGTGAGTGCCGCAACCTAGCACTGGGTTAGCACCTGAAAAGGGGGGAAACACCGCGCGGCGCAACCCCCTAACAGCGGGGGGACTCTCTCACACGCCGATCGGATCGACTCAGGTCTTGGCTTTTCTTGCGTCAAATCCCAACGGAGTTCGCGTTTAACTCTATTGGGTTCCATGGTCTACGGACACTGACCAAACAAGCCGGGCCGTTCTTTTTTTTTTCAGTGGAGGGGGTCAACAAAATGACGCCCAGGTTGCTCCGTGGACCCCTGAACTGCCTTTCTAAACCTCCCGAATCCCCTTCAAAACCAAAAAGCAGCTGCGTCATCGAAGAAATTTCTGGAGGTGAAGGTGCACGAAGTGGTTTTGGAGCCTGGTGACCTGATCTTCGTGCCAGCCGGGTGGCCGCACCAGGCGGCTGGGAAATTTTCCTCCACATCAGTGCTCCTCAGAAGTTTCCGGTGAAAATTGGGTGTGGCACCAAAGCCTTTGGCCTAGCAAATCCCTTCTTGTTTTTCGTAGGGTATGTTCAAGGCAAGTGATGTTCTGGTGGATGTACACGAAGGGGACACATGACTATGGCTATGATGTTCAATGGTTGGTGCCTCAAACATGGGTTGGTGGACATAAAATTGATGGAAGTGATGGGGTTCCCAATCGAAAATCAAATCCCTAAAACTGGGGTCTGCTCCGAGGACTTTTTACAATTTTTGTGGACTAAATGCGAAATTGAATCAGACCATATATTTGGTTTTGTTCCCCAGATGTGGGCCAAGAACACATCACATTGGTTCATCGGGAACGGCATGTTTTTTTCTCACTACGCTGACCCCCCCCCCTCTCCCCACCGCGGTTTCCATGCCAAAAGGCGAGGCTTTTGGCCTTTTGGCTAAGAGGAGACAACCAAGGCGTCTACGGCGCCTCTTGTTGGAGGGGTGTTTCCCTTTTATTTCAACTACCCAAACTGGTGCCTTGTTTTACCCGTGGCTTTTCGATTCCAAAGATAACATCAGCACCGAGCCACGCCGCAGGCGCTGCGCGGTTCGTTTTCCATAAGGATACCAGGGGCCAGTCAAACCAGCCGATGGTTTCAGCAAAGGCTGGCAACTGAAACACAGTGATATTCTGCGCACTGGAAACACAAATCGGGTCTTTGGTTGCATCTCTGGACAACTGCGGTGATACAACAGAAAAAGGGCCGACCCCCAAGACAACCCCCGCCCCCCCCAAAAAAAAGAAAAGAAAAACAAAAACAAAACAAACAAGCAAGCAAGCAAACAAACAAACAAACAATCAAACAAACAAACAAACAAACAGGGGACTCGCAAATGTAACACAGCGCTTGGATATACCGAATGAACCACCCTGGTTGAGTGGAGACTCGGAGGTGGACAACTTGGAGACCTCCGTGGCCGTGAGCGCCAACTTCATCGCCGGAGGTCCCAAGGGCCGAGGCGTTGGGTTTGCGTTTTGGGGACCCGGGGAAAGGGGGTTCCAGAAACGACCCCGGAAAAAAGCGGGTCTTTCTTTTGGGTTTCCCTCCATACTGTGGATGGACAAAATCCTGCACCATTTAGAAACCACGGGAAACCATTGTTTGTTGGTATTTACAGGGCAATCATTATCCCAGGGTTTCTGAGGTGGTGCAGGATTTCGTCCATCAACAGTACGATTCCCGATCTTGAGACAATATGCGGCGGTCTTGGGCTACTGTGGATCTACATCCATGGATCCACTTCACACCAGTTGGGATGGACGAAAGCACCGGGGATTTTCGTCCATTCAGTGCTGAGTTATCCATGCGGCTCTTTCTCAGGGCTGCTCCTTTGGCCCCCAACAGATTTTCAACATGGGCAAACCCTTGAGTCGAATGGGAACATCCCAGGTTTGAGCAAGAGTGGATAATGTGATGCGAACCAGTTTCATCCCATGGTTGTCGCATCCTGCCCTGGTGCAGTGGAGCACCCTTGCTTGTCCAAGTGATATGTGGTGCTAACCACTTTCATCCCTGTATGGTTGAGGTCGCCCAGTCTTGGTGCATGAGTGATTCGTAGCTCTTCGAGCGCCAGCTGCTTCATCGCAGCACTATGGGCATCGCTTGGATGTCCACGGCACCTCCGTGCCAAGCGGGCGCCCTCAAGAGGTGCTCATCCTCGAAAGGCGGTCCCCTGCGGCCTTGCGGGTGGGCCTTTCTGACATTTGCGTCGTGACTTGCGGAGGTTTCCTCGCCCAACCAGTGCCTGAACCCGAGTCAGGTTGGCACTCGCAGCTATTAGCCCAAGGAGGTGTCTTTGGCAAGTCTCCCCTCTGGGATGGCAGCCATTGCCGCGTCGGGGAGCACCCGCCGGTCATTTTTGTGTAGGCTCGCAGCGCATGTGGCTGTTGCAGGATGACGACGAAGTGGACAGCTACCAACAGCAATCCGACCTTTCGGGGCCGCACTTTGGCAGCTCGGTGCCAGGGCTAAGCCCAGCCCAATGGCGTTGGTCGCCTTGCTGCTCACTACGTCCAGGCCGTCAGTGCCAAGGCTTCCAAAGCCGGGGGCTCAAATGGCTAGGGGCCTTCCCCCTGAAGTTTCCGCACGCGGAGCCTGGGTCCTTGGGGAACCTTTTTTCGCTCCCGGAGTCCTCGTGCGACAGTCCAAAGCTTATTTCCTGGAGCTGGTTGCATCCTTGGGGAAGGAAGTCAGAGAACTCCTCAACATGATCCACTGGCTCAAAACCGATTCGGGTAGATGAAGGTTAGTAAGAGCAATCCATGCCAACACCAACCTTGAAGCATGTGCTTTTGCTTCTGCTTTTGTTCCTGGACAACTGTCACAGTCAGGGAAGTACAGAATCGCACCTTGTGTGCAAGGTGCGAAAACCGTGTGAGCCACAGTCTCCGTCCCTGAAGACTCCAGGGCATCTTAGAGCAACTCCCGTTTGGGGCGCGCCGCCCAGAGGTTTTTCAGAGGAACTGGCTGGTGCAATATTCGCTTGGAGCTCGTCAGGAGACCACCCGTCACAAAGGGATGTGATGAAGCCAGCGCAGGCTGCAGCGCAAATTTGTGTTTTGTGTCTCCGAGTGTGCCGGCATCGGAAGTCACAGCATAGAATCCTCGTTATGACGATGGGTTCGCACTATAGAGGGCGACCACGAGGCCTTAGGCTGTATACATAACACATGGGTTCCTTGAATCGCCGTAAACCGCACATGGTGAGTTGCGGCTTGAGAGTTGGCACTCTACCAGCATGGTGCGTGGACCGCCGTGTTGCTGGGTGGGTAGGATCCAGCGTGCGCCGATTTTTTGGGTAGGCACCCCTTCAAAGTCAACGAGCCAGCAACGGTGCCCCTTCGAAATTGAGCCAACCCCGAGGAAATTGTGTCCTTTTTCCCCTTGACCGCAGGTCTAGGTTTTTTTTGGGTTTTGCTCCGAGGATCCCTCGAATCTGCAGCGGGCTCTGGATGAAGCTGATCTGCTGGCTCTTGTGGAGGAGGATGGGGTGACAGGCAGCGCTTTAGGCAGCGCAACCTGATTCGTGTTGGGCATGTTGGTAAGTTCTATTTGGCTTCCTAAGTTTCATAGCAACCTTGTTGCTAACCAACTGTTGCCGGGCCCCTGCAAAAGTCCCTTGCAAAGGAGTGTGTTTGGGGTTCCGTGTCAATCTGCAGGGTGTCTCTCAATCCCTATTTGAGGCGAAATCAACACCTGGTTCAGATGCGGTGAGCAACTTACGTGGCATTGGGTTCATCTGTGTAACAGCTCTTGAGTTTGGCTTGCTTGGATTTCAACAGGGGCAAATGTCCTTGTCGTCTTAAAGATCAAAGGCAGGCTGAGCCCATTCAAGGGATCCCGTACTTCCTCTTGGATCGTACACATCCGTTAAAGGTTTGCCCCTCGAGCGGGTTCTCCATAACTTCCGTGGGGGTTCCGAGGTAAGGCAAGAGGTCACTATGAACACCCACAAGCAGCAAACATATCCACACCCAAGTCTCTCCTTTGATCATTCAGCCAATGAAGTCAATGTGTAAATCCTGCAAAACGTCTAGAACCTGGAAATTTAAAAACGTATTCCTTGTTCGTCGAGGGTACCCGTTTTGGAGGTTCGAGGTGAAGCCGACAGACAGCCACAAATTGTGTGTGTGTGTGTGCTCCGTGAGTCGCTGGTTTGGTGGGGACACGGGGGGACCTGAGTTTCCGCACCAAGCTGGGATTCCGGATGGGTAAGGTTTGGCCTCAGGTCCTTTTTCCGGGCGGACAGCCGGGAGGTTTCGTGTATATTCCTTGTTGGGCTAGAACCCTGCAAAGACAATCCATGGACCTTGTTCCCCCCTCCCCCTCCAGGGTTGAGAACAAATCCCAGTGGCTATGAATTTTAAGAGTTAAAACCAGCTCCAAAGTCTTTGGTGGACCCTGTATTCTCGCAAAAATCACATGGGTCCGGGACTCCCGAAAGCTCTATCCAAAGGCTCACAGAACCAAAGGCCAAAGACTGCAGACCTAACCTCAAATCCGGCAGAAAAAACAAAATCCGGACAGCCCAACTCCAGCCTGCGCCTGAAAAGACGCGAACCAACGCGTCACTCGGAGATCCAACGAAAATCCCCGGGAGGAGGCTCAACTGCTGGGCGACGCCCTGCGCAAGGCCGAGGTGACGAGGCTCCTGGAAGAGGCGGGGGAGGGTTGTTTCAAGCCTAGGGCCGCAGGGTTCAGCTGGTTTTTCTTACATTTATATACATCTTACACTATAATATATATATATATATATATATGTAGTTGACAAGGTACCAAAAGCTTCCGTTTGCTGAAATGAATACTGTTTGATTTCCTCCTTTTTGTTTTTGTTGGTGGACGTATGTTCCTTGGGGTTTGGCAATTCCTGGGTCTTTGTTCAACCCGCTCAAGGCTCAGCTTGAGGTACCAAAGCTTCGATTTGCTGAAATGAACACAGGGAATCCATCACTACTGGAAATAGGTCGATTTTTGTCAGGGGACTTGTGCAAATGGAGGCAGCCATTTTCACGGGTTTTAAGAGGAACAAAAGGACGTGTTCAATTTTCGGGGCAATCCATGACACACATGTCCCTAAAACCTGTGTCATAGTGGACAATTTGTCATGGGTTTTGCTAAACCCGGCCCAACCCAAGATGCAGGGGCACCATACCCTGTATTGTTGTTTTTTCAGGAAAAAAACAACTAACCTACATGACCTTCCAGATACTTGTTTGGGTCCAATTTGGAAAAGGGAAGCCCAGGGGCAACCCCAGGGCAATAGAACAGCGCTGAGAACTTCAGAAAGCAATGCCCGTGGCTTTTCTTGTGGATTTCCCGGACCTGTGATTTAGTGTTGGCACGAGGCAATGTCATGCGGCATTTGACAATTGGCTATTAATTTGAGGAATCCACTCCCAGTCTGGACACAACTCCCCTCCTGATGCCCACCAAAAAGTCCCCAATTCCCCAATGAAAAAACTCGCACCACCCAATTTTCCCCCAACCAAGATCCCAACCCCCGAACCTAACCAAACCCAAAAGCCACCAACCTCCAAAACCCCCGAAACATGAAGCAGTGGTTGGGCCCCGGGCAATCAACTCAGATCTTGTCTTATCCGAGGCAGCACCCAACGAGCCGTTGCGGGTCTTTAAGGCAACGGCCCAAGGTCGCTTTGGTGGGCCCCACTCAAGTTAAAACCAAAGCACGCTGGGACATATTTGTTTGTTTCCCCATGGCATGTCTCAGATTTCTTTTTGTTGAGGCTATTTGGGGGACTTCGGGGAAAGAGTTGAAAGTTGAATCGTTTTCGGCGTTGCCTTTGGGAGTCTCACCTACTTGAGTCCTTTGAGCATGGAGACCCATAGGGGACAGGGGGTCAGCCTTGGAGGAGGCACCGAAAGGAATTTCTCGACGTGCCCCCCCCCCAAAAAGTGAGTGGACACCCCCGATGAAAAACGAAGGGATGGCCAAAGTTCCTTTGTTCGGATACCCGTTTTTTTCCGACCAAAAGAATGGTGCTGAACCCTTTTTGCCTGAGAACTCTGGAGGTTTGAGATGGGTTTCATTGGTCACGTGTGATGTATCCTCGATGGTTTGGACAGCAACATGGCAACATGTTCGCGCGAAGGAGCCAAAAGGGTTCCAAGGACTTCCCTGGGCTCTCGTACTCATGTTTCCTATTTTCGGGTAAGCCGAATTGATCACCTATAATCCGCATGAAATGGGTGGTTTGGAATTTTGGGGTTGAAATCCCACACCACCAAACCTAAGGTAGCTGAGAATATAGGCCAGAATTTGAACATATTTTTATTTGGGCTAGGGAGGGTATGGAGCCTATCACTCCCAGACGCATTGCAACTTGTTGGTGTTCCTTCATTTCCCTTTCAAACAAACAGTGATCTTTTGCAGGGCCAAGAAATGGATTGGACAATTCAACGAGGTGCAACGGCCATTCCCCAGACCTTCGAACGTTTCTGGTTTAGGGTTTGGGGTGGTAAGCGCATCGAATCCTGGGCTCCGCTGGTTTCTTGGAACCCGAAGCCTGGGACAGGGATGATCCATAGGGCCCGAGCAAGGAAAAAACCCGGCGATGTGGCTGGAACACCCCGATTTCGTCGTTTTCCCACTTGCACGGGGGTGGAATCCGTTTAGAAGGATGTGTTCGGGCTGCAGCTCCGTTTCTTCCTTAAGTTGCTAATACTACCGGGGGGGGGGGGGGTGCCGGGGGGGGGCTGATGAAAGTGAAAGCGGCACCACTCGTTGGCCCTTTCCGCGGTTTCAGTGAAGGACTGCAGGCGACCTAAAGGCCAGCGACCCGTTCTTGGGCCTCTCTTTTTCCGGGACACTGGTCACAACACGGCTGGTCTTTCAGAAGAAAAGCTACAAGAAGGGACTTCTGGGTTCATTCCCACATTCCCTGCCTACACCAGCAAGTTGTAGAAGTTCCTGCAAATTCGATGCTGTGGTTGGCTGAGGCCCGTCATGGGGAGACCCGCGCCCCCCAGGAGATCCAAAGAAGACTCCTGCAGGCGGATCACTGGTTTGGGTCTCATGACTTGATGGCTCCCAGCCATCCGGTTCTTTTGCTTTCTGTGTTTTTTTTTGGGGCTTAGTGGCAGTTGCAGGTAGTGTCCATTTAACCCACTAAAAGTTAAACTCTTAGGGGATCGGAGGGCAGCCCAGATGATGTTCCCGTTTTTGGTGGGTGTTCAAGTGTCACCTGTTTGGCCCGAAGCTGAGTCTCCAACTTGGGAGTTTTTGTGTTTTGTTTTTTTTGCCAGGGAAGTCGAGGGAGCCCGGTCTCGGCGAACCAGCCTCTGCGGTAAAACACGGGCTCGCCCGGGCCGAAGAGCTTGCGAAGCAATGAAAAAGGAAGTTCCGGTGGTTGTTTTCCCCATGGCTTCTGCGGGTCAAGGAAAAATTATGATATATTTGGGTTGAGGAGATTTGAATCAACATCAGAAAATCGGAGTTGTTTACCGCATAATGTGGGAGTTGCATGTTGGTGGGGGAGCAACTGGTTGAGTAATTGGTGGTTTGGATGGTGTGGGTTTGCCCCGAACTCCTTCAAAGGAGTTCAAATCCCCACCGATCCACTTGAACTAGTCAGCATATGGAGGCGCTGAACATGACGCTTGGAACCGGTTTCAACCACCCGATGGATTTGAGGATGCCACTCCTCTCACCCAGTGCTATCGATTTGTTGTTTGTTTTGGTTCCCCGTGAACATATGATGTCCGAAGCGTCCATGTCCAATTTCGAAATTTTCATAGCCCATATGACCCATATAAGGGTGTCTCAAAACGGGGACCCTTCTTCGGATGGTGTTAAAGGGAAACGAAAGGGAAACCACCTACCTGGAGCAGTCCGCATGTTTTTGAGAAACACCCATATGGCTTTGTTTCAGGAGGAATAGCCTCCCCAAATGGTTGGACGTGAATCCGACTGGGCTGCAAACTGTCAATGGAACCCCAAAATGAAGTCGCCCACATGAAGATTCCTCCACACATTGTTGTGGGTTTTCGGGGAGCTCCTTTCGTTAGTCTGAGAGGGAAGGAGGCTGAAGGAGGTTTTGGATGCCCAAATGCTTGATTGTAGCATCTGGGTCTATCTTTGTTGAGGCTGCCCACCAAAAGGCCGAAAACACCCATCTTGGTTTTCCAAATCCCCTTTTTGCCCCCCCACCCCCCTTTTCCCCCCCCCCGGTTCGCCTCGGGTTTTTGTTGACCCCCCACCCCCCCGGATCCCTCCGCAAGACGCCGCGGAGAAATCTTCCCCGCGGAGAGGCCGTGGGGATCGCCGCGCTGAGCTTCGGTGGGCTCTGCCTGGCTGCCTGCTGGCCGCTCGGTCGCCTTCAGAAAGCCTTTCTCGGCTTGGGTTTTTTTTTGCCGGCCCAGTCCATCTGCCGTGATTTCAAAGGAACACCGGCAGGAAAATCACAAATTGAAAAAGGGGGTCCAACCCCCCATGTTGTGGCAACCAACCAGTTTATTTCATGTTTTTTTGCTGGGTGGCCCTGAGTTTAGTGGGAGATCGGACCACTTTTGGAGGGACACACCTCGATTTATATGGGGTCAACATTACCACCCGTGCGACAAATGGAAAATGGCGACCTACCTTTCATCTTTTGATAGAGGAAACAAATATGCGGGCCAGGTTTTGTCCGGGCCGGATGGGTTCGAGGGACGCGTTTTGACATCATGAGGCTCGGGCAAGATATCCAAACTGCATGCAAGACCTCGTCGGTTCAACATCCAACATACGTATAGTCTATTGTCCATTTCATGAGACTGACTGAATGCCAACCACAACCCCCCCCCAAAAAAAAAACAACGCTGTGTCAAGCAAGGCAAGGAGCGCGATTTGAGGTCCCTCAAGGTAGGATTTGCTCTTAAACTGAGCTGGGGAGTGGCTTCCCTTTGCACCAGATTTTGCAGGCAACACTGAGGATGGACATTTTTGTGCACCCAGTCTGTGTCGGCCGACGACCCATAGGGGTTATGCTAGGGTCGTTCCAAAGCAAGCGCATCGGTTTGCTTTCGTCGCCAGGCCGCTCATCGAACGGCCTGCGGAGAAAAAGCCGCCGGCGCGGCAGCCGTCACTTTCCGCGTTGCGAGTTTGAAGCCGCGAAGTCCCGTGCGCTTTGCGCAACGAAGCACCGCCGCAAAGGGCGCTCGACGCGGCGCGTATCTTGGACCCGTTGAGGTGTCAACGCATTGCGACGCAAAAAAATACGTTTGGATGCTCTGAGTGAGCACGGGCATGACGGCCACGTGCCTCAGTTAAGGACGCTGCATAAAGATGTCCAAGTGATTTCTTCTTGCATACTGTGGCATGCTGTGGGTGTGTTTATGCGGTTGGTGAGTTTGGTTCATGTCCAAGGAAATTTGACCTGCTCCCTTGCAACAAGAACAAGATGATCACTGCCAAGGCCATCAACTGAGTTGACAATGGCCATACACCTAAGCCACAAACAGCGCAAAACAAAACAATCGGTTTGTATGCGAGTTTCCTTTCGTTGGGCTGCGCGACTTGCTGCTCGCCTGCGGAGCTGGCGAAAGCGCTCGCCTGCCGTCGCTCAGGTCGTCCAGCCCCGAAACCTTCAACGCAACCTTGCCGCTGCGATAGATGCATGGGAATGGCCCCCCAAAAAAGCTTTTTTTGCTGGTGGTTTCCTTGCTGGCGGGGACCGAAGCAACTGGATCGCTCCGTGTGCCGCGCCGGGGAGTGGCGGAAGTGGCCGAAGCTCACGTCACCTCATTTAAAACCACGCGACGTTGGCAAACGTCCGCCGCTGCGGAAGACACAGCAAGGGTTCTGGTTTCGGCATAGGTGTGGCTATGGTGTCGCTAGCTTCTTTGGCTGATGGGTTCAAAACTGGTGGTTCTCCTTTTGAATTTCCTTTTAAACCCGCCTTCAGCAGGGCAGCCTCAAAAATGCACGCACCCATGTCCGCGTCGCGCTACCTTGCATTTTGTTGGGGCGGCATAGACGGCCCTTTGATCTGCGAGGTGTCTGCATGTCTTCAGTACAGGCCCGAATTGTGTTTGCAGTTTCTTGAGCCCTGAGAAGCTCACGGAGCGACACCCTCGGCGTTTGTTTGGCTCCTCGCCAAGCTCCACTTGGCACCGCTTGGGACACATTCCAGAGTAAAATCCGCGAGGTCGTTCATCAGCAATCACGCGCGCCGAATTCGCCAGGTCCCAGTCATAGCAGTCGCGGCCAAAGGTCGGCAAAGGAGTTTGCTCGCGACCGGCGTCCGGCACAAATAATGTTGACTCCATATTGATCAACCCCAGTATACCTAGAACTTCCTGCGGCGGAAATTTCTGCCGCAACGCATTGCGGCAGAAATTCCCGCCGCATTCCAGAAAATAAGCCGCAAACAAAGAAAAACGCCGCAACCAAAACAAAGCCGCCGCAACTCCGTTTGCTTTCCGGGAATTTCCGCCGCATTCCCGCCGATTTCCGCCGCATTCCCGCCGATTTCCGCCGCAAATCGGGGGGTAGAAATAACTGAAAACAAGTTCTGCCGCAATTCTAAAAAAACGCCGCAAATCAGGAAGAAATGCCGCAAATCCAAAAAGGCGCCTTTTTGCATTTGCGGCAGAAATTTCTGCCGCAACGAATCTCTAGGTATTAGTATAGGGGTCCCGGTGTCCCTGGATTTAGCGGGGAGTCAGACCACTTGTGGAGGAGAACACCCCCCTATCCATAAACTGGGTTGATGAAAGTTTGGGGTCAACATCAGCAGGTAACCATGGGCTTGCCACCCAACCAAATTGAAAATGCTTAAATCGTTCTCAACTGGCGGATGCTACACCTCAGTTCCCTTGGCAGCTCCCAAACTACACCTTGCCAACCTGGCACGAAGTGCAGCTCTCGTTGTTGACTTCGCTGGGATGAGCTGCGCGTTGCCTGCGTGGTTTGCTTGAAGCTGAGCCCTAAGAGCGAGCTTGGGCGGCACTCATTTTTTCATCTTGCGAGCAATCGGATTCGTCGTCCTGTTGCGTTTTGCATTTCCTGGTTTTCTGTAGCCTGTTGCTCCGCGACAACACGAAGTCTTAAAGCCAGCTTGAACGAACTTCCACCCCAAACTCGACACCACACCCAGCCGAAACCCACGCCCGTGCAATCCAATATGCGCCCACCTTGAACGAATCGTTAAACCACAGCCGGCGATTGCCAGCTCCCCAAGCAGGAATAGCGAGCACGACTTGCAGCCCTCCAGGAACGACGTTGGATCCAACTCCTCCTTGACCTGCGCCGGCCCTTGCCCAGAGGCCAAGCCCCCAGCCCGCCCCCAGGCCGAGTCCGACCCTGCAGAACGCGACCCCGCTGGGCGTAGTGGCTTCTGCTCGTCAAGACGTGACGGCAGCTCCTTTGGTGCCTGGCAAGGAGGCCACCTCCGAACTTGGGCCGCCGCCCCGCTCTCTGGGGTCCTGTCCTTCCAGTCCTTCTAGCCAACTTGCGCCGTGCCAAGCACGGCTGGTGCTCGATAATGAGGTCGGCTCGGATCGGTTGTGGAAGGTCGCCCAGTTGCTAGCCCGACCAGAGGTCCCCCGCAAATGGTTTGGGTCGCTTGGTGGCTGTGCAAAAACCGTCCGGCTGTGTGCAGCGTCGCCGTCAGAGACTTCTTCCAGCCGCTGGTCCCGCGAACCGTGTCCCAGCAACGCGCCCCCACCTTTCTCGAGGCGCACCACCCGCACCAGTTCGCCCCCTCCACCTGGGCAAAGGCAGGTTCGCTCGTCCTTGCCTCGGCTTACTTGTTTTTCCCCCTCTTCTCTGCCAGCGCGAGGAACATGAAAACGGCTCACTTCAAATCATGTGTGCTGCCACCGTCATTGGATCCAACTATGCACTTTGTAAAACCCCTGGATCTCACCGATCTTTCTGCGCGCCTGCGCCAACGCAAAGGGAGGTCTCAGGCGCAGCTGGCTGGCCGAGAGTGGTACATGACCGGACGTCTTTTGAGGCCCTGCCAACTGGCAATTTAACGTCGCCCGCCGCCACGGCCACAGGCGCCGCAGCAGCCTTGCAGCGGCGACGGCAGGAGCGGCAGCCACAAGCCCAACACAACCACAGCAGCAGCAACCGCAACAGCAACTGCGCCAGCCGGCGCCAACACCGGCACGTGCGCCCGCGGCACAGGCAACGCCGCCAACCCCCCCTCCGACGACAGCAGCAGCAGCAGCAGTAACAGCAGCAGCCACGCCAGCAGCCAGCATCAGCCGACGCTGCGCCCAGTATGGAGCGCGGCCACGCCCCCCACCCGAGGGCGGCCGCAGCAGCAAGCTCTCGCAGGGCGGCTGGCAGCCCCAGCGGGCACTGGTGCAACTTGATGCTGTTGATTTGCCCCAGACACTGCAGACCCGCGCTTGCACTTTCCAGTTCGTTCCCCTCCGCGGTCCCGTGCGTCACGCCCTGGCTTTTGTTTTGTTCACTATCCGTTCATAAGGAACGATCGATGCGTGCCTGCTGTTGCGTCGCAGCCCCGGCGAGTGCAAGTTGCCTAAACGCGAGTGGATGGCGCGCTTTGCGGCGTTCAACGAAGAGCGTTGGACCCAAGTTTGTGGAAACCCGGTTTCAGCCCTCTGTGTCCCGAATTCAGGTTGCCACCCGGAAGTTGTTGCCGCCCGTGCCGCCCAGCGCGCGCCCGCCATCTTGTGCGCGATCGAAAATTTCCGCGGAGCGACGGGCTGACGCCCAGCACGACCCCAAAGACCGTGCAAAAGCTCCGTGATCCCGCCCAGCCACATGGGCCGCCACGCTCGGAAGGGAGCCGCCCCAGGACCTCCGGGACTCACCGCCGCCGACCTGTCATTGCGCTGCAATTGGTCGCGCAATCGTCGGCGTCTCGCGACGCAGCCAAGGCAGGGTTGCCTTCCAACAACCCCACGGCCGAGGCCGAGCCCGCGGCCCAATTGAAGGCTCAGGCTTGCCGGGAAGCGCGCCCCGCCGGGCGCCAACACCCTCACGGAGAGGACCCTTGTTTCTGTTGATTGGACAGCATGAACCGCCAGGCTATGCTTCGGGGACTCTTGCAAACGCCTGGCGCCAGCCAGTGCCTTCCCTTGCGCGTCACGTTGCCCACCTGGGCCTTGCCGCTGCAGCTCGCAACTCCGTGCCGGTTTTTTTGGTTTAATGGGCTGACTGCTTGGCTGTTTTGAGGTGTTGCGCAGAGTTTCTTGACGCACCTTGACAGCCCCGACCGGCAGCCAGCTTGCTTTGCGGCGCTGCGGCAAGTGCAGCACTCGGCCGCTTCGACTGGGCTCCCCGGTGTGGCGGGAGCTGTCTGCTGGTGAGAGCGCGCCCGCGGTGCAAGAGGACCACCTTGCTTCGTGGCTGGCAGGGCTAAGCTAGCTGCGGTGGCTCGCCGGCATCGTGAGACCTGCGCCGATTCTGCTGCCCGAGCGCTCTTGCACTCCCAGCCCGGGCCTCTCGCCAACCGTTTCCTCACTACACTTGCCCTGCGGAAGAAGGCGCGCGAAAGAAACTACGAACCACAAAGCCTCAAAAGGGGGAAGCAACACAGTCATTCAGCTGCGCGCTATTTTTTCTTGAGCTAAAATGTCATGGTCGAGTGTGCTATCACTCACACTCCCCTTGCTGCTTTTTACAGCAGCATCTAAGCTGAGCCTATCGCCCAGTTCAGAAATTGAGCTAACCGCGGATCCACTTCTTGGACAGCCGCGGTATTTACCGCCCAGCGAACAAAGTCCGGATGCTCACTGACGATCTGGTCGTAGGTCTTCCCGCGGTGCTTGCTGATCTGCATAATGGTGTCGCCGACTTGCACCGGGTTAATGCTGGCCGTGTGAACCGGTCCTGCCGCGCTCGCCCTCTGCATCGCACTCGACGAAGATCCTCCTTCTTGACTTCCACTGCTAGAGCCGTTGCCAGGTTCCGCAGCATCCCCATGGGATTGGCTCCAAGGGAGGAAGCCTGAATTCTCCCGGCCCCTTGAATCCACCTCCTCGCCTCCTCCAAGACTGCTCCGCCATGTTCTTGAAGTACCTCCTCCGGGCAGGGTCGTCCAGAGCACCTAACCGGCACCATGACATCCTGCAGATGGTCTTGCAAGCTACTTCTCTACCATGGAGCCCCGTCAGGCTATTGGTG